GCATTGGCGAGTTTTTATTTAACAATCCAGAGATCGTACCCGAAGGATTTAGAAAATAATCGAGGTTGATTTAGTATAATCGTAACAATATATATTTTAATGATAATAATTACATATCGATAACAAATCGTTCAATTTTCAATACGCACATCTCTTTTCTTTTTTAGGTTGCCTGCACTGAAATAAAAACAATTCAAAAGCCATCGTTTAAAAATATTTTTGAGAGCATAAAATATTTTTTTTTTAACTGTTGAAGATCAGCAAATTTTATGTTGAAAATGCTGCAAACTAAATGCAAAAGTAATGCGCTAAACGCTCAGGAAGACATTGTAAAACAGTTGGAAAAGTTAAATATATGGCAGGAGGAGCAGAAGCGTTTGCTGGAAGAGCGCCAGAATTTGCAAAGAAAAATGCTTGGCTTAGAGCAACAGAATATGTACGAGAAAATGGGGATCTTTCACGCTAGAACCATAATCGAAGCGACTGGAGTTGGAGCCGCCGAAGAATCATCATCAGATCAGGTAAAAAAAGGTGGAACTTACGAAAATATTGAATTTGACAGAGAAGTCAAGGAAATAGAAACAAGGTTGTTCGAAGGTAGCAAGAAAAATGAAGTGAAATTTTCAAATGAAACTGATAACGACAACATGTATTGCAGTAACGAGGGGCTTCACATTAAAGATGTGAAAATAAAGCGGCCTTATTTAAAACGAGGTGAAGGTATAAAGGCTCGTTACAAAGTCTCACCCGAGTCATTACGGCTGAATAACTTGCCACGTTATAAATATGCTACAAATCATCCCAAAATTAAAAACCTACAGCGACGCAGAATAGCTCCCAAAGTAAAACCCTCGTCGGAACTTGGAAATTTGATAACTAAAACGCCTGAATCTGTTGAGGAATCGAAACTGGATATAAATGAAAAGTATTTCAACCAAATGCTTGTTAATTCAAACAATGTGAATAGCTCCACTCCTGACACCAAGTTTTCAAAAGAAGCTACGCCATCAATTTCCAATTGCAATCTTCGAAACGTCCGAGTAGAAAATTACAAAACGATGGAGGGCAAAAAATGTTATAATGCCGAAGAGAATCTGCATGAACATAAAGTTGGGCATTATGTCGGAATTTCTTGGGCAAAATTTCTCGATCCACAAATAGTCAAACCAATTCCAATTCAAGAAATTAGAACACCAGTTAAGAAATGTGATAAAATGATCAAAACTAATAAAAACTTTACTGAAGATGATGAAAATTTAACTATTTTTGAACTTCTTGAAAAACAAGCTGCTATAGGAGCAATCGATATGAATTCAACTTGTATAAGAAACTTTTTAGAAAAAAAAAGTAACTCTGAAGAACACCAAGAGAGTGAGACAGATTTTCCTACCCAAGACATTTATACCGGAAGTCGATTGCGGCCTGCTGTTGAACAAATTTTAAGAATTGATTCCGACGATGAAAGTACTGTTTCGGTTGAATCTTTAGATGAAAGAGCACTGCCATGCCAAACACCTACAATTTCCAGTTATGTTAGTGATGAGTCAAAAAATGAGCATATATTAAATGTTGAAAAAGCAGATTTACATGTTCGTTTTTCCGAACAAAATACAACTCTAGAATTTGATAACAGAGAAGATATGATATCAAACAATTCCGCTTTAGGCGATGAAACAACTTTAAATAAAAGTTCGTATTTGTTTCATCAATTCAAGGACGCGCTCTTTAGTGCTTTGCTTGGCAAGACGGATGGTGAGGACAAGACAACAGAGCAGAACCTGATGATGCCATCACCACCGTCTGCACTTACGCAGGAACTACAAGAGAAAAGCAGCATTATTAAATTACGACTTGAAGAGCTTGAAAAGGAAATTGCGGATTTTAGAAACAATAACCTTGAATTAATCAGAGCCAAACAAGAATATGAAATAGAGAAATCCCATTTTAATCAGGAACGTAATGAAGCATTGGACCGTCTAAGAGACGATAAAATACAAATGGAAATGTATTTACATGACGAACGCATGAAAATCGAGGAAGAAAAACGGAAGTTTGAACAACAGATGCGTGTGCAGAAACAGACATTAAACAACAAAGAGCGCAAGGAGGTAGCGCGTCTCAAGGACGAATTAGAATCATTGCGAATTCAGTTGAAACAGAAGGAACAATTACATGCATCGGCACAAGCGCGCTTACGTGTACAAATCAGGAATATGGAACGAGATCAAAAACAACTGTATGAAGATGTTGAAAAATTGACAAGAGAAAATAAACGGCTACAAAGTGAAAAACAAAAGCTTGAAAGGGAGGGTAATAATAAAATGCTCATGGAAATAAACAAGAACATTGCTAAATTAGCACCAAAGTTGGTGAGTAATACAAATACTCAAGATGTTACATACATATGTATATAAAAACAAATTTCGCAGAGTATTTTTTTAAAATATTTAAAGATCTTAATATGAAATTATTTTAATCTTTGCAATTTTTCAATATTAGTATTTTTTTTATTAATTCGTGGATACAAAATATTCTTAATTTTCTTGTCTAGGCCGCAGGCAATAGTTGCAGTACAACTATTGAATGTCCCGAAGTAAACACCCGATTTAGCAAAAGGACCTTAAAGTCGTCATACTCTTCGCAAACTAATAAAAAATCAAGTAATAATAATCAAAATCAAATGAAAGCTCCTCCCAACACTCGGAATACCAGCAGAACCGATATAAAAGAGGATGTAGAAAATTCATCAACTTTATACAAAGCGACCATGTTTGATCGTTGTAATGACTCTGAGGGTGGTTTGGCAGATGAGGATGATGATGATGACATTATTGCTGAATTAAAAGTTTCAGAAAATAGCAAAAGTACAAAATCGGCAGAAAGTTCAAGTCATTCAAATATCTCAAAAGATACTGTTATTTATAAATGTGATGCAAACTCTGGATTCGTTGTTCCAAATTCCAAATCCATCGACGAGAACACAAATAACGATAGGAATGACAAAAAGATTGTGAAAAGTGTGACCAAATGTGGAGAAAATTTTAGACGTGAAATTATTAATCCAGATGGCGGTAAAGACATTTTGTATCCTAATGGTAACTTAAAAAAGATATCCCCTGATGGAATGAACATTCGAATGCTTTACTTTAACAAAGATATAAAAGAAACAAATGTTAATGAAGGGACCGTTAAATATTATTATGCAGAGACGAATACTTGGCATACAACATATTTAGATGGTTTAGAAATATTCGAATTTCCGAATGGCCAAACTGAACATCGCTACAAAAATGGCGTGATTGAAATTCATTTGCCTGATAATTCCGTGAAAATTACAAATCCAGCTGATAAAGATAAACTTGAGGAATGGCGCTTTGCTGACGGGACAAATCTAATCCAAATGCACAACGGGGATAGGGTGTTAATGTTACCAAATGGACAAAAAGAAATACATACAAAACTGAATAAGAGACGTGAATATCCTGATGGTACTGTGAAACTTGTCTATCCCGACGGAAGTCAAGAGACGCGTTATTCGAATGGACGAATACGTTTGAAAGATAAAGATGGCAATCTAGTAATGGATACAGAGAGGGTTTAAAAATATTTAATCTATTCAGCAAATATTCTGTGTTAACTGTAAATTGTAAACGTAAAAAAAAAAAATGTTAGTAACTTTAATAAAAAAAAAGATATATTTTTTTAATTAAGGTTTTATTTAATTAAATGATATTTGATTCCACACATGGCTCATCTTCCTCTTCTGGTGGGTCGAAATCTCGTATCTTAACGTCAGCATCTTCCCCGTATTGTATAACGTTGTCTATTTGAAGAAGCAAGTCTTGTATACTTTCCTCATCATCAATATTTAACGGAACAAATCTAACTAGGCTGAAAATAAATCAAGGAAAATGAATGTAATAACTATTTAGTTGCTAGGCTTACTGAAACAGACTGTAGTGATACTATATTTTCGTTATATTTATATATTCTGTCATCCATTTTGCAGAATAAATGAGTGATAAGATAATTGCAGCATACAAGAACAAAAGAGGAGACACAATATATTTTGTTTGTGTAATCGTGCGTTCGAAATGTCAAAACCCATTGCTTGTGTTATTTGGCGAAATGGAAGGAGGAACAAGTAATTAAAAGTCCTATCTGCCATCGAAATTATCTTTCTGATATAATATTTTATTTTCTACTTTTTTCACTAATTCCAAAGAATTAAATCCTTATCCTTTTCTAAAAAAAAGTTTATTTTTTATATCTTTTCCGTAAATTAAAAAAAGTATGGCAGCGCCATAACTACAGCCAACTTAAAATTGGAGATTTAATGCAATCATTTTTAAGTACGAAATATTGAAACAGTTTTGGTATTTATTAAGGTCTTTTTGGAAGTGAAAATACACTAAAAACCCGAAATCACTCTATTATACAAAACATGGGATTTCAAGAACGCTAAATTGAGGATAAGATCGTCAACAACAATCTCTTTTACTAAAATCTTGCTATTAAAATGTCAGAAATGGACATATCGCAGGTGCAAATGGTACGTTCTGCAAAGGGCGTAGATATGTTATGTGTCGACGGTTACTTATACCATTTTGTGGACCGTGGCAATAAAAGATGTCGGTGGGTATGCAATAAATTGAAAAGCAAATACCACACATGCCGATCACGCATTGCGACTGTTATAGTAGCTGGAGATGAGACTCAGCACAAGGTAGTGCGAGTAACCAATGAACATACACATGATCGTTGTACCGAAAGGGAAATATCAAAAGTTGTTGAGCGAAAGCTCAATGCAGATTTGATTGGCAAACCATGTACACTTATAAGTAAGCATCTTAAACGAAAACAAGATTTATCAGCCGAACAAGACGTGGAAAGTAACGAATGTATACAAAGATCTGATGATGGATCTGAATCAGACGAGTGGCCAATAGACGACAATGATGATATGTTTCCTAAAGAAATTAAAGCAAAGAAAATTGTTGAAAATTCTTTAAATATTAACAGCAGAGGAAATTATTTTAATTTTGAAGTACGTATGGGGACTGGTTTCTTACTTGCTTAATTTTTAATAGCTTTCATTTATTTTAGTACCAAATCTACCTACGTATTCCAATTTAAAAAGGCATTTGTGTAATACATGCATTGATTTTTAAGTTAATATTCATGTGGAAGGGTGCATTAATTAATCGCATTGGGAATTAGTTTCATATAATTTTCTCACAGTCTTTTTTAAAAGGATTTTCTGGGTGTAATTACGGAAAGGTGTGAAAAAGCAATTTTTTTTTTTGTGAGTGGGAGAAAGATTTTTAAATAAATAACTATGAGTTATTATTAATCGATATAGCGTTTAGTTTAGTGATAATTAATTTAGAATATAATGTTTAGTTAAATAAATTAGACTGTACAGGGTGTTCGGTAACTGAAACTGTATTCCGGGTTTAAAAACTAATTTTTTTTCAAATACTTCAATCATTTAACACTGCATTACAGCCTTATACATACATATATTCGTACTGTTACAGCGGTAGACTTATTTTTTAAGAGATTCTACTAGTTCTCAAAAAAAATTCTGATAAATGAATTTTCGATTACTGGATTCTTAATGTCCGTTCCCAAAAAACGTTCGTTCGTCTGTTTCACAAAAAGTTAATCTCCGGTAACGTTTGCCATATTGAACTATTGTAAGGGTGCTGGTAGCAGCAGCCGCATTAAATCAACTCAACTCAACTCAACGTTTGCTTTATATAAATTTTTTACAATTATATGCGCTTATGTGTTACATTTTACATCAAATATGGGATTTCATTACATTTTTCCTCTTGGTAATTGCTTTAAAACTGCATTTAAATCATTTTATAATTTTATAGAAACAAAAATTATATATGCTCAAAACTGCGCTTGGACGTCAGATGATATGTGTGGAAGGTTTCCTTTATCGTCTAGAATCTAAGTCTATAACATCAAGAACTCATCGTTGGGAGTGTATAAGGCAAGATCCACCATGTAGGGTTCGCATTCTTACCGAGTGCCTGTCGAATAATACCCATAGGGTAAAAGATCGACAAGTGATACATCACAGTCATGATGGGTACACTCCATCGAAACTTACCAAATTACTCCATAAAAACAGCATTACTGTTCTAACAACAAATGGCAAAAACGATCAATTATTTCATTCAATTGAATCTTTAGATATGACCGAAAATGTAGGACTTGTACAAAGCACACCTTTGAGTAAACCACCCAAAAAACGGATAATAGAAAGTTTAACTGCTGAACTACTAAACTCATCGTCCGAAGAGACATGTAATAATGCGCAAGGTAAAGCCAAACGTGTTAGAACAAAAGCTCAACCAGTGACGTACACATATTCAGAAGACCCGTTGGCAGCACTGACAACGAACACAAAATATGATTTAGAAAAAGCGAAATTCACTTTTTTACCTTCTGCAAAGGGACATAAAGTTTTATGCCTTGACAATTACATCTTTCATTTGGACACTCGAAGTCCGCGCAATGGTCGCGCTTATTGGACATGCCTTTTACGACGAGATAAATTTTACAAATGTAATGCACGTGTCACAACGGAAATGACCCATAAGGGTCCAGTAATTGTTCGGGTGTCCGGAACGCATTTTCATTCGAATCATTCTCAAGATATCAAACGGCGGCTATGCAGAAGTTTCGTAGCGCAAAATGCCGAAAAAGCGGGTTTTACAACAGCAAATATCCTAAATGAATCTGGTAATCAGTTGAATCAAGAATTTAAAGAGATTGTAGAAAAGTCAAAAGAAACCATTGAACGTAGAATTGGACAATTAGGTAAACGAGCCGAAGAAAAAGGCTCGAAAGAAACAGTAAAGAGGTAACTATATTGAATTTTACAGTTCCATAATTACAAATTCTTATATGTTATTACATATTTTTATTATTACTAAAAAGATTGGTGATAGACTTAGATGATAATACAGTTTCGAGCTTCTCCAGTGAATTAGACTCAGATGATGATCATCTAGATAACTCATCTACCTTACCTAAAAATTTAAAGGAAATGCGCGAGGACAGCGGAAATATTGAATACATAACGGAAGCAGTGTCCCCAAATACATATGAGTACATAAAAAAACAAGAAATCATTTTAAAACCCTCATATCAATATTTAGTACAAGAAATAACTACGGGAGAAGAAATGGAAGTTGAATATTTAGACATTAATGCATACAGTAACACGGAGGACCAATTAGACACCAAAACTTCAATAGATAAGGATTATTTGGATATATCTATATCTCCTGAGAAAGAAATGTTTAAAAACCCCTCTATTGATGAAACCATGAATGTGAATAATGTATCAACTTTACGGTCTGCCAAGGGGCGCGAATTATTATGTGTTGATGGCTTCATTTATCATTTGAGGAGTACACGGAATAATCGAACGTATTGGTCATGTATTAAATGCAAAGATCCAGAACTCAATTGTAAAAGTCGTGTATCCACAATCAATGTGGATAATGAGATTCGTGTTTTCCGTACCACGAATAGCCACTCGCATCCTGTGATTGAGTCGGATATTAAAAGACGTTTGTATAATGAAATAAGGATTGATAAAAATGATTCTGAAGAAATGTATGGTGGCACATCAATCGACGCACTAAATGTAAAATATACCAAAATCTTAGGCCAAGATTCCTCTTCAAAGAAGAGATTAGATAATTTCGACTCTGAAATCGAGGATGCGATAGGGTGAGTAACAAATCAACTACTCAGTGTATCTTTACATTTGAATAATAATGCAAGAACAGGTGTTAGTATTTTACACGCATGGGTATTCATGAAAATCTTGTCTAAATTTACATATACATATTTATTAATATATAATTTTGCGTTTAGATGGCTGACAATATAATTTATGTCTATATATATAATTGGCGCTTTGTAACCGCTGAAGCGATATTTAGCCAAGCTCCTCCTCCATTTTGTGGTTTAGCGTCTTGATGTTTTTCCAACAAATAATGGGACCAACAACTTATACTAAGTCACCTCCGAACGGCTGATGGTTTTTTACGAGGAACTTTTATTTCATTTCTGAAATACAATCGGAGGGGTGGACATTCCCTGCCGAGGGGTGACAGCAATTACAATATTTAATTTAATTTTTTATTTAAATTAATTAAATTTTTTATTTAAATTAATTTAACATTTTATTTAATTTTTTATTAAAATTTAATTTATGTTATTGATAATTATTTTTAAGGAAAAATTTTTCTTATTGTGGTCGTCCTCAACAGGAAATGACAAGTCCTCTGAGTGTATTTCAGATATGATAAAAAAAACGTTCTAATAAAAATGCAACGGACTGTCACACCTTGGAAACACAGCAAAACAAAAACATTTTCGAAAACACCTTATACGGATGTTAGTGGTAAAGTAAGCCAAGCTAGTCAAAGGGAGCCAAATGCCATGTGACATTAGCAGCTTTTAATAACATTTACTCCCCCCTGCGGGTTAGGGGCTCAAGAATTTACCCGCGGTAAGGAATCGACTAAAATCCAATAGTACAATAACAACAACAATAACATTTACTGCTTTCCGACACCTGCAAAAATTAATGACAACTACTGTCAGTTACAAATGAAATGAAATATTGAAGTAATTATTCAAATGAATCGCAACTTAGAAGTACCAACTGCAATAATACGAAATTGATTAAAGTTGATGACAATCAAATTTGTGTTATTTTTACACCTGCATGCATACTCACATATATACATATGTATATACATAGTGCCGTTTGTTTATAGTTGGACAAAAGGGTCATAACTAAATTTTTTTTCTATTTTATAGTAAGAAGCCTCGTTATTTCATCTCTTGTGGACTTGAAACACAGTGTTTCTTAAAAGCGTACATTTTTATACTCAGGACTCTGAATTAAATAATTAAAGTTGTCGGAATTTTATTTTTCCGACGCATTTAATATATACAATTGCCATTTAATTCGATGGAATTGAAAAAGTATATTTAAATTTATGTCTAAAACGTTTTGCAAAACATTTAGTGACGAAGGTACATAATTACAATTTTTCCCACATTTTTTTTTAAAGTAAGTCGCTTATTTTTTATATTATCTATTAAGTTATCATGAACCCACATTTTTTAACCATTCCCAGTGTTTTAAATACAATATTAAACAAATGCAAACCATTCAATAACCGAAAAGATTGTATATATATATTGTATTGCAAATCTCAACTTAGTGCAATTCTATTTAACTGAAAGATGTAGTACATATGTTTTGCACATGAATACATACGTAATAAATTCAACATTAGATATTTGATGCAGATAAAGCTCATAATGGCTGAAAGCAACTGTATTGAGATATAAAAAACAAGTTTAAGAGCTTTTTGAAGCTCTTTCTTAAATATAAAATAATCAGTTGGTCAGTGGCTAGCAGCATTACTATAAAGTTGGCGTTTAGTTGGCAATTGGCATTGCCTAAAACCAGTTTTGTGCTGCTCGTTTTAAATTTTTGTTTGTTGGAAACACTTGTACTCTAAAGGTATATGAAATTGAGTTCTCTTTTATATTAAAATGCAAAATGAAATCGTAAATACCAAATGTTGTACATATAAATATTATTTTTTTATTATGGGAATTAATGATATATTTACTTTAGTAAGAATAAAAAAATACTATATAAAATGAGAGGGAAAAAATTGTGTTAAAATCAGATCTATATAGAGCAAAGAACTAGTGTTACTCGTTTCGAAACTGTTAGGACAGGTTCAGGTACAATATTTTGTACACATATGCATAAGTAAATGTGTGTCGAAGTTGAAGTTAATTATTAGAAAACAAGTGCATTCAAATGTTAGTTAGTAGTTAAAATTTTCAATAAATCAGTTTTGTTTTTTGTTTTTAGTATGACGATGAAATTATACGCCGTCTCCGATGGTCCACCATCACTAGCTGTCCGCATGGTTCTCCATTCTCTAAACATTCCCTATGAATTGGTAAATATTGATTTTATAGCAGGTGAACACCTGACTGAGGAATACGCCAAGGTAAAGTAATCTTGAGTAAATTCATCCGTTATTTTCATGTTATGCTTTTACATATGTATGTATTATATATTTTATTTTACAGATGAACCCTCAAAAAGAGATACCCGTTCTTGATGACGATGGTTTTTATTTAGCTGAAAGTATCGCTATAATGCAGTATCTTTGTGATAAATATGCTCCAAGTAGCAAATTATATCCAAGAGATGCTACTAATCGCGCTATCGTAAATCATAGACTCTGTTTCAATATGGGGTTCTATTATGCTTCTATTTCAGCCCATAGCATGGCGCCAATATTTTTCGATTATCAGCGCACCGATATGAGTCTTAAGAAAGTCAACAATGCATTGAGTGTGTTTGAGACATATTTACGAGACGGCGGGACCAAATATGCGGCCTCAGATTTTTTAACGATCGCTGATTTTGGTTTAGTTTCGGCCACATTATGTTTGGAGGCAATAAGCTTTGATTTATCACCATACCCATTGATACAGAAATGGTATGAAACATTTAAAGATGAAAATCCTGAATTGTGGGAAATCGCTAAAAGTGGAATGCAGGAAATTGCAGAATTCGAGAAAAATCCTCCCGATCTATCAAGCATGAAGCATCCATTTCATCCCACACGGAAAGCAAAAGTGTAGGGCAATTAATATTATATACTGCTATACAATATACATATATTTCAACGCGTTTATTTGTTTATCGGTTAGGAAGTGAATGGATTTGTTATTTAAATTTAAATAAATATTACAACTAAGCGGCAGCATGACTTTGTACTCAGTTAGAAGTTAATAAGAAAGAATATCTGATAATTTGAATCAAAAATATTTCATGACACGAATGTCTATACGAGATCTATGACAAGTTCGCACACACCCCCGAAGACTTTAATCTACCTTTCTGGCTGTTTATAACATTAGGGAGAAATATTTAAGTGGTACTACTCACTTGTTGTTGTTGTAAGCGAAAAATTATTCCGCAAAGATTCTACTCTCACGGAAGTTATCGGGTCGGTCCTATATAAATTAGCCCCTGATTTTGATATTATTTACAAATTAGACAACGGACAATTCAACTAACAACAAACTTGTGAACTATAATAGGGCATAAATAGTTTTCTATAATTTTGGAGGTTGATAGGGCCCGGACTCGGATATTTACCATCACAAAGATGGCATAAACTGTTAACCACACGGCTATTACGACCACCTACTTTATACAAGCAATTAAAATATGAAATTACTCATTATAACATTTGCTATTTGATAATACGAATGTGAACCAGTATAATATGCCCTAAGGCATACTGAATTATGCTACCTCAAAGTAATACAATAGATACTTTAATATGGGAATCATTTAATACGGGAATAGGATTAATTTACTACATTTACCTGAAGTCTTCTATTAAACTTCCAATTGCTTCTGACAGTTTACGATACGTACGTCCCCAGGATGATTCTTGAGTGACATCTCCTAGTAATGCTTTTGGATCGGGATCTAAATAGTTATCAAGCTGCTTTCGAGCTGTTTTACTGAGTAAATCCATTTTACTTAAAACATTTATGTGTGGCATTTCCAAATTTGCCATGACGCTGAGAGCAGCCATTGTACCCGACAGGAACTTAGCACCATCAACCATAAATTGAGAATCGACAAGAAACACCGTACATATTCGGAAATTCCAGGATTCCAGCAACTGAACAAGCTGTTTGCCCATCGATAAATGTGTAAAAAGTTCTATTTGACCTGGCATATCGAATAATATGTAGTCGTCATCAGGTTCTCCACCTATTTCATTATCAGAATCATCAGCACCGCACAATTGGGCTTTTAACCAATCTTGGTTTTGTATTAGATATTCCAAGCAAAATACCAATCCGCCGTTCGGTCCATAATGTAGTTCTTCATCTTCCATAGCATCGTCCAGTTGAATTAAATCGCGAATGTCAACCAATGGTTGGTAGTCAAAATGTTCTGCCGCTGGGTCTAAGTTAACTACATCAATTACACGTTTTGAATCTTGAGCGTGACGCTGCATATATGCACAGTAAGTGGACTGTTTGAAAAAGTTGTTTTTATTTTCAATTCAAATTAAAAGTAAATTCTATAACTTCACTTACTTTACCACTTCCGGCCGGACCAATCACAACTTGCGCGTACCGCATTTCTTCTTTTAATACTGAATCAAAGATATTGTGGTTAAACTTTGTTGTTCTCGAGTGATTTTGCCTCAAGGTTCCAAACAATTTCAACAAGGTGGCATCAGGTACGCAAATGATTCTTTTATTATCAGCTGATTGAAGTGAACTGTCAAAGTCTATTACACAAGTCAATTATAGGACACCACTCAGTCACTTCTAGAAGGTACATGCGAGAAATTTGTAGCTATAAGAGCGAAACGCCTACTTCTGACATGTTCATTTGAGTTTGCAACTTGGTAGTGACAACATCGGAGTTAAGCAGCTAAAAAATAAATATCGAAACTATTATTTAGCAATCCAGTGATCGAACCCAAGGAATTAGGAAATTATAGAAGCGTTTTCAGCAAAAATCGTTGCAGTTGTTGTCAAATGTGGGATTGTGAAGTAAAACCGAAAGGATTATCTACAATAGGAAATAGGGTGGAGCTACAACCACTGCTGCGCGAAGCTATGGAAGCCGAAGGCATTGACTTGACGAAAAGGGCTTAAAAAGGAGATCTAGTAATGTTGTATAATCCTAAATGAAGGAAACAATCAACTCCGAGATCAAAGAGTGATTGGAGAGGTCCGAAGTGAGAAATGCAGAGTTTGGGAAAAGTGTGTCTGCTTGGCACGATCGGAAATATTAAATACGATTAAGAAGTGAGTAGGAAAGGCTAATAACTAAAGCTTGTTCTGCCGAACGTGCACTCACTCACGTTTGTTATCAAGAATATTCAAACAGAATCTTCCAGAAGATAGAAACCAATGAATCTCGTTCGGTGAGCCAAAAAGCTGCTAATATTGTTACGATTTTACTAAATCAACCTTGATTATTTTCTAGATCCTTCGGGTACGATCTCTGGATTGTTAAATAAAAACTCGCCAACTTAATTTGCAGTTTCTTTCGTTATAAAGAATTAATCTAATGTCCTTTATTTCCTCAATAATTAACAATTCAATTATAATGCACTTTACTATTTACAATCACTAGCATCAACTTTCACAATTTACTTTACTTAAATGTAATCTCCAACGCGTTTACTTTCCGACTTTATTGATGTTCACGCCAACCAGTTCACTTTTTAACTCACTTGACTTGCAGCTGAGTGTCGCCTTTATATAGCAGTCGGCTGCTCGCAGACGAAAGCGTAGAAGCATCGAATTGTTCGCTATGGAAGGTTCTTGTTTTATCGTTTCTAGAATGTACTAGTTATCGGCTTCTCTCTTTCATCTGACATTCGCTTCGCATTTTCGCAACAATAATTACACAGGGAGAGTGTAATTTTGACATTTTTCTGCTGGCAAATTCTTAGTGACATTTATCACTGAACATGACTAAAAATATGGCAGGGACCCGATTATAGTAAAGACGTAATTCGCCTAAAACGTTTAGTAGGAATATTAATGTCAAATGAGTGATAGGGTAAGGTAAACGCTGGAAATATAATATTAAACGACCGACAGTTTCAACCAATTTTGTTTGATTATAAATAAAATTATTTTCTTTATACACAGATTTTGAAAATATTAATGCAAAGAAAGGAAGAGAATTTTTCTATTGGAAACATGCGGTGAGTGTCAAGAAACAATCAAATAAAGCTTTTTCAAAATATTTTGTTCGTAAACAGTGGAACGGAATCACATTCTAGTGCAACTACAACAGAGATTCCCCAACAAATAAATTTCAGTCCTCAATACCAGCAGCAGATGCAAAGTGTCCCACATTTAATGCCAACGCCCTCACCAACTCCATGGAATCTTAATACTATGCCTTGGAAATTAGCAAGTACTGATATAGGGCAAGACGATATAATGCAATTCAGTGCTCATGTCAACGATGTTGCTCAAGGCCGAGCAGCTCTTCATCAGAAACGGAAGTCAAGTATTGAGAATTCATTGTAAGTTGGAAGTATGTTTAACATTCATTCAAGGTAGTAAGTGTATTATAATTTCATATAGGCCACTTAAGCAGTTCATTTCTGAAGAAAAAATTACTGCACATTTCAATGGATTACACATATCAAGTGATTATATACAAAACAGTTCCAATAGTACCAACAGTCCTATGTCTGGCAATGATGCCCCAAGTACCAGCACGGGTAAATGCTTTACTAATCTCACCTATCATGACTACCAGATAACCGCCAAAGAATTAGAAGAAAAATTGCGCAATGCAAACAAAATTACCGTGTGCGAACAATTAAGAAGACTTCAAGAACAAGAACATAAAGCTAGTTTTTTGCCAGAAGCACTTTTCAGTAGGATAGAAAAACCTTGCACCGCATTGGTACTTTGGCAACCCCCTCCAGTGTTAGATTTGTTGCATCGAAAAAGCGAAAATGAATTAACACCAACTAATAGTGATAGCACAAGTGCAGGCAGTTTTGGCACTGTTGATTTTCCGGATGCTGATACAATAGGAGACGACGATACGTTTTCGGATCGGGAAGATATAGACGACTTCGTAGACAATAACAACACTTGTCGTTTAGATTTCAATAATATGAGAGCAGATCATATGGATGAGGATTTTTAGTTCAATATAAAACTTTAATTTTTCATGCTCGTCTGCTAAATACTGGTAAAATATGTAAAGTAATACTAACGGCTACGAAATTATTTTACATTGTTTTTGAGTCGTAACAAAATACAAAATGCTTTGCCACGTTCGAACTGAAATAGGTATAAGCAAGATATAATAATTAATAAAATAGTTTTTATTAACATGCATGAGTAGTATGAATGAGCAATTGTATGGAAGGATACTTTTTACTATTATTAAATGTAACGCATTTCGTAAAGTATATCAACTTTATTTTGTTATAAACCGGTAACAAAGTTCTTAAGGATATATTCATTATTATGTAGAAATATATTAATTCATTACTAAGCATAATTTTTGATGTTTTTATTTGGTAATCTCTGGTTTTCATAGAAATATATGCACATACAATAGATTGTATGCATGTTGAAATAGGTTGTTTTGTTTTTGTCTAATATAGCTGTTTGACTTTGAAATAGGTTGAGATTATTATTAGACTACGTTGTCCTTCTAGCAGCAGTGATGTTTTTGTTGTGATTGCTAGCTTTATGCGCATTGTAAGAGGCTGAACTCTCGTATATCCGTACTCGACTCCAACGTAAGTAATGAGTAAATAATTAAACTTAAATTACACATTTATTACAAATTAACAGATTACACTGATCAACAAAAACCTTTTACTTACAACACGAGGAATTTCGATCTATGACATTAGTGTCCGTTTTGAAGCTTGGTCTTATGTTTGTTGGTGTGTTTATTATAAGCAGCATTTTTAATGTATACCGCTCGCTGTAATATTGTTCCTCCTGAAGAATTTTTACTTCGTCAAAATCGGGAGAGTGGCAGCTGGCTGCACAGTGACATAAAAAATTAAACAATTTGCTATGTTTTGGTAAATAGAAAATATGTATCATATTTTATAACTAAATATGTAATAGGCATTCCAGGAAAATATATTTTCCCACTAATTTCAAGCGTCAATTAAAAATATATATATAAATAAAAAAGTAGTTGGTACAAAATTTTATTTAGTGTTAGACGTTGAGTAACAACATAGAATGTCAGTGTTTTTAAGGTTAATTCTAAACTGAGTAAAATAAGATTCCTTTACTGTAGCATGGTATTAATTAAGTTTTAGTGGTATTTTTAAAACCGTTTAAATTCATACCTTTCGTAGACCGCCGCATTTCTTCCTTTATTATTTGTGAAAATACAAACATTTAAAATTTTTCAAATAATAATACAGCCTTTTACCTTAAAATCTTCTACTAAAAAAATTAACAGAACAGCGTGTAGACCCTGCTTGGGAGTCTAAATCTTGAAATATTTTTCTCACTAAAGGAGAAAAATCTATATAATTTTTATAATATAAACATTCACGAACGTAAGCGTACGTTCCGTCTCAATTTTCGCAACGAAACTTATGAAAGTACCATATGGCCTTAAGAAATTGATGGGGAAATCGTTCCCATATCTTGGCTCAAATGATCAAAAGCCTTCTTACTGGGATGTAAATGAAAATTCACCACCGCTTAAGTTCGATGACGGACGGTATAGAAAAAAATAATGATAATATATTCTAATTCTTTGTCTTTAATATTCCTAACTTCTAATTCCTCAACGTAGGTTGGGTGGTATGCTGGTGATTCCACTCCACAGCCACCTCATGCTCCTTGAACGACTACTTTAACTATTTAATTAACTCGTTTAAATCATTAAATTCGATTTAACAAAATTATATTTTTTTACTTATTTTAGCACATCATCATTATTATTTGAATTATATACATATATTATATATACATATGTAATATAAATATGGTTCTCTGTAGTAATAGATTCCAGGACAAAAAAATACATCAAGCTACTTTGCTGTCCCCTGATCGATAAAGACAAAACCAGACCGATCATGTTGTGATACACGGAAGGTATGTCTCCAGTATTCTTGACGTGCGAATACTCAGAAGACCCAATATCGACTCGGACCACAATCTTGTTGCAGCGAAGATACGCATGCACCTCTGTGTATCGAAGAACGCCCGTCAACAAACACAAGGAAAGTTCGATGCTGAAAAGCTGCAATCACAATAGCCTGCCGAACGTGTTTCTATTCAACTTGCACTCCTGCTCTCTGAAAGCACTCCTCAGCAACTCGGTATATGGGACCTGTGGGGACGGCATCGCAAACTGCATACGCACAGCTGTAAACGAAACTAATGGATTTCGCAAAGGTCGCAAAAACAGCTGGTATGATGAGGACTGCCGTGTCGCAGTGGTGAGAAAAAAGAGAGAAAACAGAGAAAAAGACTTTGTAACCTTGCGATCGACCACAACACGTGCGGGATGGGGTAGCTACCGAGAGATGAAGAAGGAAGCAAGACGCATCTGCAGAAACAAAAAAGAAAGAGTCCGAGATGCGTGATAATGAAGAGCTTGAGAAGCTGGCCGATAAGGGTAATGCTCGAAAATTCTATAAGAAGATACGACGACTTACGGAAGGTTTCAAGACCGGAGCGGACTCCTGTAGGACACAAAGAGGTGATCTAGCCACCGATGCCCAGAGTATATTGAATTTATGGAGGGAACACTTCTCCACCCTGCTGAATATTAGTGAAAATGGAGAATCCGGAGATGGGGAACTCGAACCCCCAATCGATGAAGATGGAAAAGACGTTCCATTACCAAATAATGAAGTACGAATAGCCCGCTTAAAAAACTACAAGGCGGCGGGAGCTGACGGCCTACCGGCAGAACTATTCAAACATGGCGATGAAGAGCTGACAAGACGCATACATCAGCTATGGTCGGACGAAAGCATGCCCGACGATTGGAATTTAAGTGTGCTCTGCCCAATCCACAAACAAGGGGACCCCACAGTCTGTGCCAATTACCGTAGAATAAGCCTTCTTAGTATCGCCTATAAAGTCCTGCCGAGCGTATTGTGTGTGAAAGACTGAATCCCACCGTCAACAAACTGAGTGGACCTTATCAGTGTGGCTTCAGACCTGGTAAGTCAACCATTGACCAGATATTTACCATGCAGCTGCCTTTACGCTGTTATGTCTGAATTTGGTATCCCCAGAAAACTTATACGGCTGTGTAAGCTGACGCTAGACAAGACCAGAAGCGCAGTCAGAATTGGAAAGTACCTCTCCGAGCCGTTCGAAACGAGGTTTCAGACAGGGTGACTCCTTGTCGTGTGATTTCTTCAATTTGATGCTGGAGAAAATAATAAGAACTGCAGAGCTGAATAGGCAAGGTACTATCTTCTATAAGAGTGTACAACTACTGGCGTACGCCGATGATATTGACAACCACGCCGTTAGTTCTGCTTTCTCCAGGCTTGACCAGGAAGGGAAGTGAATGGGTCTGGTAGTGAACGAGGACGAGACGAAATATCTCCTGTCATCAAACAAAGAGTGTGCAGCTGATATATGTAAACTAATGCACAAAGGACATACTCTAGATACGTCGGGGTCAAGTCGTTATAACTAGTAGCCTAAATTAGGTGCGCCAGCGGTATGCGGACCTGTAGCTGCAGCTCGAGCTTTTCGTTTACAACAGGTGGTGACTTGACTCCGAGAATGCCATTCATTGGATGGGAGTTTAGGACGTGCTGATGGATTCTCGGTGAATGGCGTTAAATGCCTGTCGGTAAGCCTTCCTCGGTTGTATTAAGTAGTGCTGAATGTAGTCTTATAATGATTACGACCGACTGGCCAATTGTCTTGTTGCCAGCAACTTTTCTTTGTCTTTTCTCCAGGTGCTGCAGACTAACACTTGGCTCTAAAATTTTGTGGCAATTGTAGTCGCTGCTTGAGAAGCAGTGCAGACTTTCGAATGTGACTCCCAAAAACTATGGATGTTTATAGTCGGAATTTTTCCGCAATCGACTTTTACATCAAGCTCGAGCCAATACTCCTTTGCCCAGATGGTGAAGAGAAAAGAAGATGATTTTGTTGGTTATAATTTTCTTGCAGTGTCGAAGTATGAATGATCGTCTAGATGTCAGTTAACTTTCGAACATAGTCATCAATATTCTGGCCAGACGCTAGTATCATATAGAAGTTAAACAACAGTGGGGAGAGGACACAACCCAGTGGAACCTCTCTTTTTAATCATTTTGTGTTTGGATGTTTGAACTCGAAATTCTACGGGTAAACTGCGGCGGTAATGAAGATTCTTCAATCTCTGATAGTATCACGGTTAAGGCCCTTGAAAATGGGTGTTTTCTGGCGTTAAGTGCAGTTGTAGTGCTGTGCACTTTGAAGAGGCAATTCTGATAGGCTGCTGGGAGAGAAATGACTCTCCCTGGTTGGCTGGCCTACGGGGTTTTAGGAGCAGGACCACCCTACCCCGATCTATTTGCCTTGCAAGCTTGGCGGCGTGTGTTCTTTTACATAAACTACTACATATTCAAAAAAAAATTTCTTAGGCTCTAGTTAATAATAAAAAAAATTAAAAACAAAAAATTAATAATTTTACCTTTTCAATATCAATGCAGAAATATCATTTTTGAAAATTCTTTCTTCAAATTTGGAGAGAACAATTTAAATAAAAGTTTTTGTGAATGATACCATTTCTGTTTATGCGCGTTTTGGCAGTTATTCATTTTCTTTCGTCGTATTCTCAGAGAACGTTCTCTGATATTCTGCCTTTGGTGACCTGTGCATAGCATGTATGTATGTAATAGGAACGTGACGCTACTAGTTTCGGATACAATCTCACTAATTATGTACAAAACATGTAAGGAAGAGTCAACTTCTGTTGAAACCGATTGTTTATGTGAACATAAGCCTGATAATTTTGTTAGTTTTTCGAAATAATTTTTCAGCATGAAGTTTAAGAAAACGGCTCTTTCTCAGCCTCAAGAATCATAGGTACTAATCAAGTTAGAACCGGTTTTAAGCAAGTTAGAGCATGCTCTACTAATAGGATATAAAGTTAGGGTGATGAAATATTCTGTGATATAATAAAAATGTGCCATATTTTGAAGATATATAATTTGGCACATAAAAGTAAAATTTTGAAGTACTATCCATTTGATTGAAAAAAATATCATTAGATCGTTGAAGCTAAAAACTCTTAATCAAATTTTAAACATAGAATAACCGATAAAGAGAAGTTGTCTTCCGGTGGCATTTAAAAATATATATTTAGTTGAATATTCCTACTTAATATTTGCACTAAATTACAGATACATGTGTACACATGTAGCTCACACTTTATAAATCTTTCGGGCAGCCTAACTATGTCATCTCACGTAAGTAAAGACATATATTTGCATGTTGTTAATATTTCAGCAAACTTGTGTTGAGTTCAACATAAATTTAAATTATTGTACCCATTTTAGCAATTACAATATTTATACGCTTCTGATCTTTACCAAGTTCTGACTAACTTTAAAAACTCCAACTATGAATAATATACAAACAGTATTGAAAATTTCCGAAATCAAACGTCTGTAGCATATACTTCTTATACATCCATTTGTTCAGATATGAGGCTTTGGTTGAAACTCCTTCAAAAAAACGTTTGGTATTCTACAAATAAAAATTGACAACGGAAACCATTGAACCATTGATTTGGCCGTAGGCAGTTCTCTCTTTTCTGTGCAATTTTGATCCATCTCATGAACAAAATGAAAACCCTAGACACACAGTACAGTCAGTATAATAATTAAAGGCATTGTACCACTCGTGTAAGAAATAGGTATAATTTGTACGAATAGAGAGAAATGAAAAGAACGAAGAGCGAATTTCGTACATTCAGATACCTAGCAAACTTGCACGTTTAGTACGTTGCGGTTCGTTTGCCTTGTCAGTTCGTTGAAATCTTTGTGGTAGTGATAAAAATTGTAGCTACATTAATTTTGTACGCGATGACCAAACGTCATTTCATATAACCATACGACAGGAAGGCTTTGCATACAAGGCAAATCTTTGTGGTATTTTGAAGAAAACATTTATATTATTTTTAAAGCGTTTACATGATATGAGAGCAGTTAGTTAATATGTGGTGCTTAACAAGTTTATAAAAATTATTTGCAGATTAAAGAAAAAACTTGGAAAATTAATTTGTGTGTGTGTGATACTGAATCGAGAAGAAAAATACGGTGGCGATGTCCGAAACGGGGTCGCCGGGCAAAACGCAGAAGGGTGGACAGCAGCAGCGTCGTCAACTGGTAAGTAAAAAACATATTTGAAAATAAATAAACATCTATATGTATATATATATAGTATGTATCTAAATTTTGTAATGATAAAACTGGAAGGAGAAAGATTTTTTCTGGAATAAATGCACAATATTTATAGTTTTCTGGTGAAGTAAAAAAGCATATGTACAAAAAAAAAACTCAATATGTATATAAATTGAGTGTCTCGACTGTTTTAGTCGCTGTGTCTAGCAAAAGATGTGGCCCGAAATAGCTGCTGCATTAACTGGCCAAAAAGTCGTGTGATAATGGCGCATATGCTTGTTAAAGAGGAAATATATGCCTACTAGCTCGGAAAGTAAATGAAAATGTAATTGGTGTTTGTGTGGCATTAATGACTCGACTCTTTGTAAAGCCCTCTAAACCTCCGTCTCTCGTAAATGCTGTTCGTAGTTAGGGTGGAGGTGAAATCATCCAGGCAATACAGTTTTGCCGAAGTATTATGTGTGTTTAGTATTTTCTTATACATATACAGCTTACATACATGGCTATGTGTATGTACATATGCATATTTATATACATATTTATTCTTTTTAATGTCGATGAATATTCTATAGATGTACTCCTAAGAAGTTTTTGAGTCGATATTTAAGTGCAAACCAATTATGGTGGAATAATCTCAAGCCGGTTATCGCACTCGCTCTGTTTAGTCTTTCATATTTGACTTTTTTATGTTAAAACAGAATTTGTAATAAACAACAACAAATGTTATCCGCAAATCAAATGTGCCTCAAGGTGTTTAGCAACGATTTAGTGATTTTCGATGATTAACAAAGAAAATTGTGTGAAAATGTGAGCGCGCTAATACACAACTAGCACATACATACATGTACAAAAGTCCATATATATATATATATATATATATTCATACAGATATATATATGTATGTAAGTACGTATATACCATGAGAATGAACATACAATTATATGTATAAACACAATATGTATGTATGTATGCAGACGTATTAAATTTGCTGATAGTGTTTGTGTGCTTGATCGAGCGACATAAAATTGTTGTTTGTACACACATGAGCGCACGCATTAAAATAAAAACTGCCTGCTGCAGCAGGGTCTAGCTAAACAACACGCTATCCGCATTTTCCGAACAATCAACATTTGTACCAACGCGGAGCAGCTCAACGCAACTGACGCTGTCCAATGAATTTCGTATGGTTAAAAAATACTTGGTGGCTCTGCGCTCATGTGTGGGTGATGCAGCACACATGCATACGCATGTGTGACTTAAAATCACTCAATCACACAGATACATTCTCAGAGAATGTGTATCTCTTGAGTTAACCAGTTTTTCGTGGTGTTACCAGATTATTCACATTGAATTGTCATATAAAATACCCATATTTCCATTCCCTTGAGTAATTGGAGTGAAACAAGAATTAAAGCACTGAGGGCCGGCCCTATGCTTTTCTTAAATTCCTACAAATTTAATTTTTGGTTGAAAGGAAAAGATTAAGTAAAAATGGGTAGCTCTTATTTTAAACGTCTTATGTTTTTATATAATATATATTTATATGTAAAAATCTGAAAAAATTAGCAGGGGATCCAGTGAGTGGAAATGAGGCTTTCACATTAAGTTTAACTTTTGATTATGTACATATGTATGTAAAAGTAGATGAAATATTTAAACATATAAAAATCCCAATTGCCATACACGCATACAAGTATCATAGAACCTATTGCATTCTACGTTTGCAATTGTACGACAGTAGGCATAAGCACAAAAAAAATTAAATATTTTAAATATTGGATTCGTACTCCCATCTGCTATAACTTTCTCTAGTCGAATACGAGTATATTAACAGCAATGACTGTATTCTTTGCATAAAAAAATAGTTTAAAATTATATTCTTTGAGCCGTACAGTGGAAGTTGATTTACGTGAAATCGTCACAAGCAAGAGGACACATTTAAAGCATTAGAAAAAAAGTTTGAATGATTATTGGAATATATTTGTACATATGTGTGTATGTATACACATACGATGTCGGACAAAAACTTAATATTGTAATCTAACTATTAAATATTGTTTTAAATATAAGCAAAGTATATAGATATAGGAGGAGCTATTTTTTTTATAAAATTTTTGTTAAACATTTTATTAAAATCGGAACGAACCTAAACAACTTCCGCACTTATAAAATTTTGTGCGTGAAAAATTGCGAGCATGCAATATTAATCAATTACAATCTCAATTGATAGATTCTAGTAATTTCAAAGAAAGTCATGAAAACGTGGTCATGCCTGGACCAAACATTCAGCAGTTAGTCACTATAAATGCTTTCAAAAAACTGTAAGTGTCAAAAGTTATCACTTTGGAAGACAATCTGAAGGTACAACACGGTGAGAGTATACACAAATTCTTATGGAATCAAAGAAAACTCTAGAAATGTTGGCGTCAAGCGTGTTTAAGGCCCTTAACAGAAAGTTACACAGCAGTCTACTGAAGACATTTGTTTTCCATAAAAAGGGCTTAACCAATTTGGGCGATAGCACATCAACTAGTCATTGTTTCAAATGGAACATCATATTTTTTCTGATAAATCAAATTTAATTTAAAATATTCGGAACACTGTATTGGAACTGTTAAGCATGGCCTAGTTAGAATTATGGGATACATGGGGATATTTTTCTCGGTTTGGTGCTCGACATCTGCATCAAATAAATGGCATTATTTATAATGATAAAAAAGAATTGACGCCATTACGACTCAAAACACACATCAAAACTACAAATAAACTACTGAAAACATTAATATCCTTTAAGCGGCCAGCGCAATCACCGGGTCTCAATCTAATTGAGAATCTAGGGGAGATACTTAGTAGGAGGATGGACAGAGAAGTCGTAGCGGGGGCAAGAAGAAACTATTTGAAGTTAAAATAGTACTCCATAGGAAATAATTAGCAATCTTATTATTATTATATTAAAAATATTGTTGCGAAAATGCGAGGCGAATGTCAGATGAAAGAGAGAAGCCGATAACTAGTACGTTCTAGAAACGATAAAACAAGAACCTTCCATAGCGAACAATTCGATGCTTCTACGCTTTCGTCTGCGAGCAGCCGACTGCTATATAAAGGCNAACGGAATTTACCTTCTAATGGTCCAGGTCAGATATCTTGCTATCGATCTGTTTGCGTCTTCCCATCCATGCTCCTTGAGTAAGCGATTGGCGTCTGCGCAGCGTCAGGTGCCTCCTATGGCATTGGGTAAAGTCCACAACTTTTTGTAACGAGCCTAGTGCTCAACTTGAATACATTTCACATTCTCCCCCACCCGCTTAGACACACACTGAACATTAATCATGTTTAATTTTTATCGCATATAAGTCCTGTAGACAAATGTTTTACTAAGGTTTTTAATGTTTTAAATATATAATGTGTCCCTCTTGTTTGGTATTCAATTTGTTTATATTTAAAATTATCTGTGTGAAAAGTACAGATGATAATGGGTTTCAGTCCGATATGTTTTGCCTTAGCCTGTACATATTTATGTATGAGCAGTTACGAAGTTATAGTGCTTTTAATCCTTTCTTAATGGTTTATACTAACATTGATATTACTTACATACGTGTATATGTATGTATGTATGTAAGTACAAACAGAATTGAACGTCGCCAAACAGCTTTGGTCTGGAAGTAGTATTCAGAGATTGCCACTTTATTAAAATTATGTTTCACCACTACTAGCGATAATGATTATGCACAAAGCTATATATATGTATATAAATACATATACATATGTATTTATGCGCAATGTGAAGGGCATCAACTTGTTTCTTATTACCCTTTCCAAAAATACCTATAGCTTGCCGGTTATGTAGCGCCTAATGTAACGCCATCCCGTGCGATTGCTACTCAAATTGGTAGGGACAACCGCATGCCTATGGTATTACCTGAAGGCTTATTGCAGGTTGAAGTGTTATCGAAGGTCGGTTTTTTCATTCGTTTTAGTTTTGTAGCTGGCGAATGCGTCTCACTTGCGATTCGTTTTATAAAAGCGAACATGTAGTCTGCTTTTGCTGACAGTCCGTGTAGTAATGGGAATGATACAGAGCTAAAATGTTGCTGGGTCTGATTTTTAGGTCCACGCCTGCGTACTTTACATACTCACCAATACACTTCCATAAACGACAAATGGTGTACATAGCAGTCGAAACATACTCAAAATTTAAATAAAAAGCATGAAGAGAAACACTAAAATTTAATTTCATCGTTTTGCAGTATATTAAGAAGATACACTCGGGAATTTCCACTCAAATTATTTGATTACTTGTTTACCAGAAAACAGTGCCCACCAGTTGCCACGGTACACGGTAGCAATGCCGATAATGCATTCTTAAGCTTCCGTAAGCGATGGCAATGCAAAAAATGAAATATAAGTCGAGTTTAAAAGGATAAATAAAGCTCTTGCTTTGATATAATATATATCTAAATCTGTTGGCGCATTGCTGCTACAAATGTCGCGCCGAGGTTCATTGTTGTCATCTTTGAACTCCATCAAATTCGCAACTCATTCTTGTTGTTCATCATTTTTTGCTTTACTTTAAATTTGAAAATAAAATAGCTAAAATAATGAAATAAGAAACGTTTGAATTTTTTTATGCTTTAAATGTACCTTGTATTATCCAGCGCCATCCCAGATGATCCCCTAGCGAAAGACATATGTATATATTATACGTAAATACGTTCTTTGCCCTAGATAAATGTGGCTTATTTTCCAATTCTGCCACCAGAATCACTTATCTGAGCGCTTGTCGATAGCCGCTTTAATATCTGCATCGTCGGTTACGTTGGAGGATAGTCAGTAAAATTAATGGCGATAAGAAACGATAGAAAACGATGGCGATAACGCTGACGAGAATATCGCAACTACACTGTTGACGAAGGCGTTGAACGGTATACCAACAGACGATGACTATATTCAGCATAAGGCCGACAAATTTGAAGAAAAGTGTTTTCTGGAGCAAAAAATTGGAAAATGTGAAAAATACACATGTTATGGCCAAGAATTATTATAAAGATAAGAGCTTTTCATTACGTTTTACAAACGATTTCGACCAAGTGAGCTGCTGAAAATATTCTCTTCCAAGGCGTTAACTGTCTTGGGCATACCTGCGTAGATAAGCGACTTCCCATAACCCCATAAAAAATAGTCCAGCGATGATAAATCGAACGATTTTGAGAGCCAAGCGACAGATCCAAGATGCGAGACAATCCGCTTACCATAAGCTTCCTTCAATAAATTGAGGGTTTGGTTGCCTGAATGACATTTAACGCCGTCTTGTAGCAACGAAAGGTCGTCCAAGACAACGTAATGCAGTTACAAAGTACACTTGTTGTGATTTATTGAGTCGTTCATTTATTAAAGTCAACAAATTTGCTGATTTTTATTAAACAATCCAGTGATCAAGCCCAAAGGATTTGGGAAATCAAAGGAGTATTTAGCGAAAATCGTTATGAGGAGATTTTATTTCAAGTTAGAAATACACTCGGAGGACTTAAAATTCCGTGCCGGAGTTCCCATAAATTTGTAAGTTGGTCAAACCCTCGGACTCGAACCCTGGCCTTCCGAATGGCAGTACACCATGCTAACCTCTCGGCTATTTTTGAGAATTTGTGGTAGCACTGAAAAAAACACTCCAATAAAACATCTCAGGTATAAAATTTTATTGGGAAAATAAACTCAAAAAAATCACTCAAATATATTTGAATGGTGAACTGAAATGTTAACATGAGCGTATCAAACAACAGCTTATTACCAATTTGATTGTAGTTAGTAAAGGTTTTGAGTTCTATCTACTGTTATTTACTATTGCACGCTTACTCATTGTTGTCAGTTTGATGACTGGATGAACATATATAACATACATACATATGTATATTTCATATTTCCGTTTACCTCACTAGCTTATTTACTGCTTGTTGACAACAACCAAAATGGCTCCACCTGCCACTAATCGTATGAACATCTTTTCTACTCTTTGTTTTTATGTTTTCCTTCTTCTTTAGTTTGTATAGTTTTTTGCTAGGGTAATTATGTATCCAACTAGTTTGCATTTTTTAACTAACTAGTTCATCTTTCATTTATTTTCCTTGTAAGCAACAGGTATTTTTAACACGGCGGAGGCCTACGAACTTTCAATTGTCTGACTATGCATCAGCTTTGTACTAGTTCTATATCAGTTCATTTAGGTATGTTAAATTTGGGTCTGCCTGCAGCGAGATTCGAATCGTGAAACTAACGCGCTACAATGATAACATATAACCACTAGGCTATCGTTATGATGTACAGGGTAACGAGATCTGAGCTTTTCAACAGAGCTTACAACGAAATAAACCCAGCCGTTGTGTACTAAAATAACAACAACATACGAATGTCTACTTCACCAAAAATAAAGAAGAAAATAAAAATAAATTTGCAGGCAGGGAAGCTCCAACACCACAGCGATTAATTTTAACAGTTCCGTTATCGTTACGGGGGTTCGGGGGATTTATTTTGCGGATTTCAACAGAGCGGAATTGAGAATGAAACTCAGATGTAGGTTTCTAGATATAACAATAAAGCATGGTAGTGCAAATTATTATTGCCCGTTACTGGTGAACTTCTATACAAATAAATACCTGCTGTGATTTCATCTTCAGAATACTGGCATTCCAATAAAATTTTCGCATACCAGACAAGCTCGTACCCGCACAGTGCTGAAAGCTTGTTTACCGATTTTTTGCGTTATACAACCGAACAATTATACAATAAAAAATTCGATAGAAGCGAAAAATATTTGAAATGAAAGTAAAAATTTGACTTTATTTGGTCAGTTCAAAGATTTTATATGACAGCCAAAGCTATCAGAGAAGTGGAATAACAAGAAACTTTATTACATATATACATATAAATATACATACATATACTACGTACTGACATTCGGAAGGCTTGGGTTCAAATCCTGGTGTCGTTTTAACACAAAAACTTATAAAAAAAAAAAAAAAATAAGTTCAATTTTCTAATTGCGGTCGCCCCTCGGCAGGCAATGTTAACCGCTCCGAGTGTATTTCTGACATGAAATAAAGCTCCTCATAAAAAACCATCAGCCGTTCGGAGGCGGTTTAGTATAAACTGTAGGTCCCTCTATTTGTTGGGAAAACATCAAGACGTAAAACAACAAATTGGAGGAGGAGCTCGGCCAAAAAAAAATCGCTCCATAGGTTATAAAGCGCCAATTATATATTATATCTATGGATAATAACTTAACTAACATACTATACATCTGTAGTTTTAAATTTTTAATAATACTAACTTTTTTTTAGCGCGAACGCAAGCAGCGTAAACTCTATCTCGAAGAGTGGGCACTCGGAGATGATGATTTAGAGGGGATACGAGGATTTAGCGTCTCCGAAAAACTCGAATCATCCAAGTTTGCACAAACTGGTATGGTGCGTGAAATGCGTGGCAGTGATTTGAATGTGGGGTAAGTTTTTAGCTCCACTAAAAAATAACTGATAATTAATTATTTCAATCTCTTTCCAGTTTCCTTCAACAATATGGCTTTAATATTCCATTACTGTTTCGAGAAAAGGCCGGGTTAGGGTTACGTATGCCCGATCCCAATGAATTCACCATAAATGATGTACGTTTATGCGTTGGCTCACGTCGAATTCTGGACGTAATGGACGTAAATACACAAAAAAATTTACAAATGACCGTGAAAGAGTGGCAACAGTATTATGATAATCCACAGAAAGATCGACTTCTTAACGTAATCTCACTGGAATTTTCCCATACACGCTTAGATGGTTATGTACAATGTCCAGAAATTGTTCGGCAAATTGATTGGGTGGATGTCGTATGGCCGAAACGTTTGAAAGATGCGCAAAAGGAAGGCACAAACGTGCTGGGAGAAATGATGTATCCAAAAGTGCAAAAGTACTGTCTCATGTCCGTAAAAAATTGCTACACTGATTTTCATATTGACTTTGGTGGTACTTCGGTTTGGTATCACATTTTAAAGGGTAGCAAGGTGTTTTGGTTGATACCGCCAACTGAAAAAAATCTGCAGTTATATGAGAAATGGGTATTATCCGGTAAACAGGCTGACATCTTCTTTGGCGATACAGTCGAAAAGTGTGCTCGCGTATATCTAACAGCTGGCAACACTTTCTTTATTCCAACAGGTTGGATACATGCTGTATATACACCCACCGACACATTGGTGTTTGGTGGAAACTTTTTGCATTCCTTTGGCATTGTTAAACAACTTAAAACGGCGCAGGTCGAAGATGCCACAAAAGTTCCACAAAAATTCCGGTACCCATTCTTTACCGAAATGTTATGGTACGTACTAGCCCGGTATGTGTACACATTATTGGGCCACTCTCATTTGGAAGGTGAACCTTCGGTGAGTGAAGAGGAAATAGCCAAACGTAATCATGTACATCTCACACATTATGAACTATTCGGATTGAAAGAGATCGTTATGTATTTATATGATCTGCCACCACAAAAGAAGAATGTACCAGAACTTGTACGAGATCCAGTAGCACTGATAAAAGATGTTCGCACTTTAGTGGAACGACATTGTAAAGACAGACCAGAATTAGCTATAACGGGTGAGTCTGTATTGAAACCACCCAGCCAGATGCATCCTACGTACAAGGTGTATGACCGTGTGAGTGTAAAGCAGGAAATCAAAGCAGAAATCGCACGAAAAAACGCAGAAATTATACGCGAACAACAGCAGTTGGATGCAGCGAATGCGGCAAATGCAAATACGAATACAACTGAGATTGCATCATTTAACAATGTTGTCCTGAAGAGTGAGTTGAGTTCGAAAGCGAATTTGAGTTGTATTGTAAAGGAAACAGACAATGACAGTATCATTGTGAAAGAATGTAAAAAGGAAACCATAGAAAATGGAACACCATCCCAGCCTGGTAAGATACATATAATGAAGAAATATAAGAAATGAAATATTTCTGATAAGAATCCATCAGCCGTTCAGAAGCGGGTTACAAAAAACTGTTTGTCACTTTATTCTTTCCGTTACGTTAAATTCGCAAATAAAGCTTCACTTAAGGTCGTATTATAAACATACATATGTAAATATGCATATATGTATTTAGGTACTTTTTCTTTCTAATTTTATTAAAATACATTTCTTACATTCATTTGAAAATTCAAAATTAAAAGAGATGAAAATCCATGAAGTATTAGGTTTAGTTCGTTTTATACATATCACTTAAAAAGTTAAAAATTATGAAGGGAAAGTAAAATAAGTGTAATATTTTTTTGTATCTAACTGGTTTAAACTTCTACTGTGAGCTAATCTAGATTTTACTAGCGATATGGAAATATATGCATTACTGATTTACGTTGGAAAATTTTGTATGAAACTTTCTAACTAATTTTCTCTTTCCTTTTAGCCACGTTTGTGTCACCAACGGATAGTCTCAAATATCGTCCGCCGAAAAAGATGCATCTCGCTAATGCTGTGGCCGCTGCAGCACATCAAGCCACCAATACCGTTAGTGTCATTGCCTCGTGCTCCAGCTATAATTCATCTCCAACAGCTACATCAACAAATTCAGCAGGAGCAGCAACCCCTATGCCCAATCAAACACCATTTCACACTCATACACAAACCTATTCGCATAACATCAATGCCACTAATACTGCTGAGAATGCTTGTCTCTCGCCAAGTGAATCAAAGTTGACACCAAACGTCACGGGCACGGGTCAGCCACGTCGTCGACGAACGCGTTGTAAGGTATGCGCAGCGTGTCAGAGATCCGATTGTGGCGAATGCAGTTTCTGTTTGGATATGGTAAAATTTGGTGGTCCCGGTCGTGCTAAGCAAACTTGCATGATGCGTCAGTGTCTCTCACCTATGCTGCCCGTTACAGCCCAGTGTTTTGTCTGTCATTTGGATGGCTGGCGTCAAGTCCCCGTATCGCCCCAAACTAAGCAATTAGCATCACTGGATGGACCATCGTCGTTAATGGAGTGTTCGGTGTGCTATGAGATTGCGCATCCTGATTGTGCACGCTCGCTATTGGATGGCACTGAAGATGCTCATGATGCTAAGGGAATAGTAAATGAGGATTTACCAAACAGTTGGGAATGTCCTAGCTGTTGCCGATCTGGAAAAAATAATGACTACAAGGTAATTTTGGATTTCTTAAGATGCTTGAAATACTTTACAGTAGAAAACAGATGTAAATTATAATTTATTTTTAAATGGTTATTATTACAGCCTCGTCACTTCAGAGCACGCCAGAAGTCTTCGGAAGTGAGACGAACGTCGGTAGGTGGCACAAATATCGCTACAGCCGGACACGATCACGACAGCAATCAGTTGCCACCGCCTATTGGTCAATATAATGATTTTGTTTTCACATCGGAATCAGAAATAGAGGCATGTTCTGCTAATACTGTTCACTGGAAGCATGTGGCTAAACGGCATCATCACAACATCGAGGTGAAGACTGAACGAAGCTATGATACCTCTTCGCCGGGTATTTCGCCCAATACCACAGGTGATCGCATCAAGCGTCGTAAAAGCGATGATGGTTTAAGCTTGTGCAGTAGTATGCAGGACAGTATTGAGGCAGGTGCCTCTATGGATTGCCATGTTGGTATTGGAAATGGCGGTATAGTCGGAAACAATGGCACACAAATGCCGCGCAAAAAGAATTCTATTCGTTCTCAATTGGCACAGCAAATGCTCAATTCGTCAACACGAGTTCTTAAGAAACCACATTATGTGGTGCGGCCAGCTGGACATTTGTCATCCGGAGGCAGCGGTCTTGGTGGCAATCACTTTAGCGCGGCAAATTTAGCGCTCGATCCGACTTTGTTAAAAATTATCTTCCGATATTTACCCCATGAAACACTAGTCACTTGCTCGTCGGTCTGTAAAGTATGGTCGAATGTATCTGTGGATCCAGATCTATGGAAAACAATGAACTGTGCCGAACATAAATTGTCTGCTGCATTACTAACAGCAATTGTTCGTCGTCAGCCAGAGCATCTAATTCTTGATTGGACGCAAATTGCCAAGCGACAGCTAGCGTGGGTGATTGCACGTCTACCTGCTCTGAAACATCTATCGCTACAAAATTGTCCTATTCAGGCAGTGCCCGCCCTGCACACATGCCTCTGTCCGCCATTACAAATTTTGGATCTGAGCTTTGTGCGTGGCCTTAACGATGCCGCTATACGTGATATACTATCCCCGCCCAAGGATTCGCGACCTGGTTTAGCAGATTCGAAAACGCGTTTACGTGATCTCAAAACACTCAAGCTGGCCGGAACAGACATAACAGACGTGGCGTTGAGGTACATAACACAAGCACTGCCGAATCTTGTGCATCTAGATCTATCATCATGCCAGCGTATTACTGATGCTGGTGTGGCACAAATCGGCACTTCACCAAATGCCATAGTGAAATTGGTGGAATTAAATTTAAGCGCCTGTCGTTTGGTGTCCGAATTTTCTTTGGAACACTTAGCCAAATGTGAGCAATTAATTTGGTTGGACTTGCGGCACGTACCGCTGGTGCCGACACAAGCGGTGATTAAATTCGCAGCGGAATCCAAACATGATCTCTGTGTGAAGGACATAAAGTTGGTGGAAAAGCGGCGACTGCAGAAGGCGTCTCACCTGACGTCATCTTCGAATTTGGGAGGTATGGGATCAGTAAGCAGCTGGAATGACTAATCAGATTGGGAAAGTATAGAAGTAAAATAATTAATTTTATAGCTATGAGCGTGATTAGACTTTGATAAGTTAAACTGAATGTATAAAAAATATATATGTGTAATTGCAATGCTGTAAGAGAGTATGTATATATGTACGTAAGCAGCCAAACTGCAAAGCATTTAATTGATGAGCTGTTAAGTTCTATATGAGTGAGAAAGTTGAGCAAAATTAAAAAATAAACGCCCATATCAGGAGTAACAATTTTCGTTAGATGTCAAAAAATTAAAATACTAAAAAGTTAGGAGCGTCCTTCTTTCGTTTCCAAACTTTTGGTCAATTACACATGAAATACTAGACTTTTTAACCCTTTTTAAATGAAATGATTTTTTTTTTATTTATTTCAATTTTGCGATATCTCGTCATTGAATTAAATGAAAATTATTTCATCACCACCTTCGAGCACAATCGAAGAACGAATGAGACTTATAATATGGGTCGAATTAGAATCAATAAGCTCCTAAGAAGGAAAAAAAATTATTAAAACAGTGAAAATTATACTTTCGAATATTCGAACAATAATATTCGAAATGTTGTGATCTGATTTCTTCAGATAAATTTAGTCTCGAAAAAATGTAATATGAGTTCTGCTAGTTGATCAGATGGGCAGTAACCATCCTTTTAGAGGACTGTAGAAAAATTTTATTGGTATCTTTATCGTTTGACGGCTTAAAGTATGTATAATTTCATAGTTGTTGAAATACAAAAAAATCTTGAACGCAATTAATAAATTAAAAATTGAGAAAATACTTAAAAACTGAAAAAATAAACTGTATAAATGAACAGATTCAAATTTAACCGCCAAAATAAACAGCTTTTACACATCTTGCTGGCTAGTTTTTACTGAGATTTCTCAATGAACATAAATATTATCATTCTACCTTAAGGTAACAATTTATACATATAATATTTATTAAAATGCAATAACAATGTTGAAACAGATTAATTAGTGAATAAAAATCACAAAGACCAACTCGATTTAGGTCGAAATTAAGTAATTAACATTATAATGTCTCTTTCAATTTATTATTGATTTTTTTTCAATGGGCTATTTATATCTCAAAAGCCGTAGTTATGTATGTATGTATGAATTTCAACTTTAATAAATACGTTCATGATTACAGAACAAATCTAAAAGTATTTGTAGGGAATTGTGAAAATCAGACAATGAAGCATAATTTCAAAATCATTATTATTAGTGAAATGATGGATAAAATCTGTAATAAAATTTATTTTGCATAAAACTAAAAAAAAATGTAAAGTCTTTGAAACCAGGAACGAGCTGGCAGTATTAACTTAATATTTAATACCGACTTGAGGATTTTATAATTAATTACACTACAAAGGGAATGAAATACAAACATATGTGCATGTGTATTAAATTCATCGAATCTGTCCCTTCTTTAAAATTCGAGGTATTGCATTCAAAAGCTTTGAAAGATAACAATTAACAATTGTATATATATTTTATATAGCAACAAATTGTTTAGAATTAAAGCAATATGATTATTATCTATTCCAATTACCATTTAATTTTTACTATCAATCATAAAATATTTAAGAGTTTTTATTTCTTATATACTATATTTATCAATCTACAATTTTACACTGCTTCCGAACGGCAGATAGATTTTCATAAGAAGCTTTTAATGGATGCCGATAGTCGACCGCTTTAAAAAGAGTTTTACATTCTGATCTGACAAGGATTCAAGTCTTCGTCTCTCCGACTGGTAACAGACGATAATCAATGACATTTTTAGAATCTTATTTAGAATTCAAATTTGTTAAGTTCAATATTGCACATGGTATCTGTTCTCTTCGTAATAAAAAAAGTTATCAAATGTCAGCAGTAAATTTTTAAGATATCAAGTCTTAAATAGTGAAAATGAACGGGCAACATATACTGGGCATCTCGTAGACACTAATATATATATATAACCATTACAAAAACTGTTGACCCAGCTTCTCGGACTTCCGGTGTACTTGACGACTTCTTTTACTAAAGTATTGCAGCTGATAATATTATTTCTATTAGTGAGTTTGGTCAATCAAATACTAAATGAAATGTTTCCCATAACATATGAGTGTTAAAAAAAATTTGAAAATGCAAAATGTAAACGATATGCAAACATATGTACATATGTAGATATGCGCATGTATAAAAATACGAACATCTAAATATGTACGCAAAAACCAGTTGTTTTTCCTCCAGGGTAAAGGAAAATCAGACAAATGTAATTGTTAATAAGCCAATATATACACATGTGCAACTAAATATTAATATAGTAACAAAAATAAAGCTAACAAACATACACACGACTTTATTTACAATCAGTGACGAATTGAATATTTAAACAGTACCCTTACATACATACATATACTTACAAAGATATCGATAAATGCATTATTTCGTTAATCCCAGTCATATGCTTGTATCGATACCTAAATTAATAGAAAAATGAAATAAGTGGAATTTTATAAGTTTACGAATGCCGTTTTAAATTTTTGGTTATCGATTTAGTTTTGCTTAGATACATATAAACCGAACTTTTCATAACTATAATTATCAATTGCACTTCTCAATTAAAATAAAACCACAAACACGTTTGGCTTATATTCACTTGTATAGAATTCTTACACACATAGTTCACATGTTAATGTTTTGCTAGGAGATAAATACATATATATATGCTTACATAAATTAAACTCTATTTTATATTTATATTTGCATATATGTATGTATATACTTCCGTAGTTACATAAATATTTCTAGATATATGTACATACATACATATATGTAAATTTATGTGCACATTATTCCAAGCCTAATAGTAGCACGTACATACATACATACGAATATTTATTTACCATTTTTCGGGTATACATAGAAATACATATAGTAGTGTGTATGTATATACATACATACGTACGTACATTGTATAAACTTGTACAAGTACATATTAATATAAATTTATGTAGATCTACTTATAAAAATTGAAATTAATTGTCATTATACATAAAATAAAAATGTGTAAAATTTATGATTTTGCAATAAATATGTATATACATATTGTATTTAAAAATAATGTTCAATATAAATAAATATATTCTTAATTTCCTAGAAATGGCAGTTGGTAAGTTTAAATTTTTACTTAAGATATATAAGTTAGCATAACATACATACTTGTACATATGTATGTACGTACATAACCTTTATACTTTTTTTTTTACAGCTTACGCGATCATATTCGTGTTAAAATCATCGCGTCTGCCAACCCTTCCTGGCTGTTCGGGGCCAATCGGAAATACGACGTACAGACCGGTCGCTCTACAACTGATCCTTTCAACGGAGATATTCCACTCCCTCTACTTCTTCCGGGGAATACTATTTCGAAAACGCTGGAGTACTTTCATATATTTGCGAAGCCCCTATCTCTTGATTCGCTGAGCCATGTCGAAGTCGCTATATATCTTGTACAGCTCATCGTTCCATTGGCTGCGGCAATCGCTGCTCTCAACGCAAAAACTTCTAATGCCGACTCATTAGATATTGTCATCAACTACACCTCCACACTATATATAAAGACGAGAATGATGAGCGACTTGTAGGGTCTGGTCACTGTTTTTCGAGAATAGACTCTACTTTTCAATTGCGTAACTGCAGAAATTACGTCTTGCCCTTGCTCGTTTCTGAAATCATACACTTCGCTTTCTATGCGACATTGAGGAAGCTTATCCCACAATGAAAGGGTACCCCTTCTTGTGGAATGGGCTAAATATGCTTAGATACGCGGCCACGATAGCCGAGTGGTAAGCATTGCGTACTGCCATGAACGCCATTAATTAATTCAAATTAGAAAATTGAGTTAAATTTTTTCTTTACGGACGCCCCTCGGCAAGGAAAGTTAACCCCACCGAGTGTATTTATGCCACGAAATAAAATCATTATAAAAAACCATCAGCCGCTCGAAGGCGGCTTAGTGCAATCTGTGGGTCCCTCCATTTGTTGGAAAAACATCAAGACGCATATATTGAAGCTCAGCAAAATCGGAAGACTATTGCAATACAATAAATATTAATGTTTATAAAAGGTATAGAAACTGCAGCGTGGTCGAAGTCAGCACTTCTTCTTACTCACTTTTTTATCTTATAACCAAATATTAAAGAGAAACAGTTAGTATGTACATATGTATATATACATACATTAAGACCAGAAAGTTTTCGGAAATTGTCATTTAAATTGCCCGCGCTGAATGGTTTTTCCTCCTCGGTGCGATGGCGCATTATCGTCATGAACGTTTCCGGAAATTGATGGCCCAAGTGGTTTCGCGCAATCGCCTCAAAACTTTCAAATAATCTCTTTATTGACCGTCTGTCTCGTCATGAATTCATGCTGAACCAAATCGCGAATATCGAAAAAAAAACAATTTCCGGAAACATTCTGGTCTTATTGTATATACATATATTTTATCGATTTCAACACATGCTCAAATTTCATAGGTAAGTCGGACCGCAAATGTAAAGATAGGGCGAATTCCAAAACCTCAGTTGCTAAGCAGCTATATATTGTCACGCTTTCCTAAATGCAACTGTGCAAACTTTGACGATGTATCATGTTCCAAATTGCATCGACAAAGTTATTGATGCGTAAACAAAAGCAAACTGCGCATCGCCAAGGTTTGTGATGCTTTATTTTATCATAAATTTTTGCTAACAACAGTCGTCGTCGGAGGGCTAGTATTTTGCGCTAATTATTTTTTTTTTTTTAACATTATATTCCTTATTTTTTTGATCTGTTTTATATTTTAGCCGTTTCATTGAAAATCAACTTATTTGCACGAAAAGCGTTCCAAAATTTCGGAGTTTGCAAAGTATTGCTGCGAATGAAATTTATGGAATACAGACTTGCATTATTATGATGTGGTTTTGCAACCGAATTTGATATTCTTCATCACTTTTTAAAGTGAAATTTGTTTGCAGACATGTGGACGACATAAATAAAAACTCAATATTTATTTGATTCAACGTAAAATATGTTTTTGTGAAGACGTATACTGTTCGGAGAACAGATGTACAGCAACAATTGTTACAAATTTTTACTGAATGAACAGTAAAATTTACACTGGAGTAACACAATTTTAACTTTTCGTTACAGCTTAGTTCTTACAGACATTTTTCGCCTAGCAAACCTATTTTTGTATAGGCAAATTTTAAGCTAATTAAATTTAACTCAAATAATCATATCTTAAGAATATCTTGGTCGGTTTTATAGCGGTAAAGTTTTTCTGATTACTTAACATCATATAAATTCAATTTGTTTCCTGGTTTAAGGTCGATATAATTAATACTAGAAGAAAAGTCGCAAAACCATTATTATAACTTAATATATAATATGTATCTATGTATATATAAAATAGAAAGAATTTGAACATTAATTTTTTCCCTTTATAATATGGAGGTTTGTTTTTTCCCTTAAATTTTACACAGTCAATAATTTTGACACCTAAAAGTAATGTGTAAGTTTTGAGAATCTCTAGAAGACCCAGCCACACGTTGTGGTTTTCTGAATTTCGTCAATTCGCATTACTACATCTATTGTAAAGGAAGTGATTGATTAAGAATAATGAAAAAACCTTATTAAGATTCAATTAGGTCAAAATATTAAATTTCTTATTATTTTATTGATCTAGTCTAGTTTTGTAAGTATAAAAATGCATTAAATGCTTGGGATTTGAATCTCACAGCAGCTAAGTTACTTTTTACATACTTAAGATGGCAAATAAGGTTTTTTTTTGTTAGATCGGTACTGAATTCAATGAGATACTTGTGTACGATATTTCGAGTAAGTGTTGAACTTGTTATAAGCACATGAACTCCATAATTTTGAGATGTTCCGAACACTTTGATCAGCCAATAATTGGACATATTTGTGTATGTAGTAAGTACGAGGGGAATAATCAACTCAAGAACAAACTCTAAAAAGAGATTAATCAATAAAACATCTAAAGTTACCATCAATAATTTCGTCAGACTGTTTGGACATTGAACTTGAAAAACATGTAATTCTTTTATTTTTATTTTATGTATGTGCATACATATACATACGTACATATATACATACATATGTACGTTTATACATGTTCTTAACTTAAACAAAAATGTGAGAATAATCAGTGCAAACAACGTCAGCTCGTTATCAATAACTCTTTGAAGGTACTTAAACACTTGCGCCCCTGCAGTACGCACTTATATTTTATAACGCCTTTTCTTACGTATGATTGATAATGAAAATACATAGTAGACATGTATGTACGAACACTACATACACACAAAATTCGAATTGCAGTAATCAATAATACAAAAAAAAAATTACATAAAATTACTGAAGTCGTCTACTTATAATTAGTCAGACAAGTGGTTGTATATATGTATGAATGTTACTACCATACAACTAATTGAGGTAAATAAGTTCGTAAGTAAATATTTCAATTGCAAACATGAAAGTATATGGTAAAGGGTAAAATTTCGTGTTTTCCATATATTTTTAATATGGGGTATTCAACGATTTGCCGAATATAAACCTAACGGAATAATAAACACGCCAGCACTCCCTTTTCAAACTTGTATTTACTTGGTTGATATAACATACGTATCTTCTACATGTATGTGTACTCTCAATAGTTGTGTTCGGTGAAAAATGTCATTAAGAATTAGGCGTAACGAGTTTTCACCAAACAGGAATCAGACAGCAAGTTGTGTAACAACTATATATTTGAATCTGATCATTTAAAAAGTTTATCGTTTTACATTATTATAGTATTTATTCTATTATTTTTTTAATAAAATGTAAGCATATTTAGAAAGAGCTTTATCTATACTTTTAAATGCGACTAACCTTTCATTGGGCCGTCGTCGCTTTCGAAAACTTAAGAATGCATTATCGTCACTGAAAAATACACATTTCTGTTTTATAATAAATTATTTTAAAAATAATTAGAAATCTAATCTTCACATCAGATTTCAGATTCATAACATTTATTTATGACGAAAAAGATTTATTTCACACAAAAAAGTATTGAAATAAGTATTTTCCTACCAAATTGTTTTTACACATCTGCAAAACCTTTTTACCGTTTTAAAAATGTTATATATGAACTATTTAATTTCTAGCCAAACATTTGCATGTGTGGGAGTGTTTAGATAAAATCTTGATTCTCTATGAGCAGAAAAATTTTGTGTAGCATTTTACACCAAACTATGCACATTCGATACATATATATACGCGTGTTCGTGTATGTATGTATGTATGTAAATTAGGTTTTTGTAAGCAGTATATTTGTTTTTTCATTTGCTGTTAGAGTAAAAGAGTTGTTTAGTTTGATTAGGCTGGTTCGATACCTTTAGAGCGAAGTATGTATTTAAGTACCAGAAATAGCTTTCATAACCGATTTTTTCAGACTTGAGGTCAAAAATGAATCAAAGAAGTGCGAATAAAGTTGATACCAAAAATCATCAATGTCGGAAACTTAAATTTTCAGATATGAAAATCCTAAAATAAAATATGTACCGTAAATTTGATATGGTCATGAAATGTGAAAACATACTGCATACCGGAGACAGCTGTATTTTCTTTTTTTAATTACGATACTGTTTTAAAATTTTCTTTCTTCCTTTTACATAAAATAACTGATGAATTGTTTTGGCTTGGCATACATAAATATATGTGTGTATATATATACATATCTACATACGTGAACATATGCGTATGTATATAAAAAAAATTAAATCACCAATAAACCAATATTTTTTAACACTTTTTTCGGTAAATTATTCGTTGTATAAGGCACAGTGATCGCTTTAAGACTATTCAAAAAGTTTTTATTTTAATATTGAAAGAAATTACATTAATATATCTAATGAATAAGAAAAGGAAGTTTCAATATTCAAGTAAGAATAAATGGTAAAAATATATTTTTTTACGGACACCCCAATGATTCTATTTACATACATACATATATGCATACATATTATATTTAGGCTAGCAATTAAATATTGCATATTTTCCCCAAACAAAAAACCCTCTTAGGTCTTCATAAATCTTTTTCTACATATCTGAATGTGGAATTTTACAATCGCTAAGATAATGACAAATCTGATTAAATGTTATTCATTATTATTGTACGTCAGAAATATATTTTACGCACTGCATTATACAGTGGAATTCACATTTCATGTTCCTGAAAGGTATAATGACTCGGGTAAAATACTTATGGTGCAAAATTTCATTCCATTTCATATACGACCGCCTGGATGTCCTCAATAGACTCAAAAAGTCACAGGGGTGCATATCGGGCGAAAAAGGCGGTTGTTGCAACACGGCGATCCCCTTAGAGATCAAATACTGGGACACGCTTAGGGCTGTGTGGCGCGGCGCATTGTCGTGATGAAGGATCCAGTTACGAGCGATGTCTGGACGCACCCTGTTGACTTGTTTTCGCAATCGTTCGAGTACTTGGCGTCAATAGACTTGATTGACGGCTTGCTCAGGTGGAAGAACTTATTTGTGGGCGCTTCTACGGCTATCAAAAAAGGCAATAATCATCGTATTTCCATTTTCGTGACGAGCACCACGAACACACGTTTACTCAAATCCACACAGCAGGCGAACTAAACAAGCTAGAGCGATGGCAAATATATCAATGGAGAGGAGAAGGATGCCGGAAGAAGGGAAAGAGAATTTCATGGTCGCAGGGTTACCACAATCGCGACAATAAATCAGTCTCATTACTCTATTGTCACACCTCGTATGTAAAGTTGTTTTTATTTGAAAACATAATAAATTCTAGGTATCTTTTATGAGTAAGAAACAAAAAAAAAACCCACCAAAAAAAGTAAATAATTTATTAAAATCATTCGATTTTTTTTTTATTTTGGATTATTTATTTCGAGATTTCATTATAAATCCGTTCTACATCTGTATCTTAAACCAATAGTAAACATCAACTGACAATTCTTAATCTGTACAGGTGAATATATACATATACATATATATAATATGTATGTATGCACGCCAACCTTATATTTGGAATCCTTCATAGTCAAAATTTTTAGAATTTTTATTTTACTAAATAATATAATGATTTAGTTAGTGACCCTAGCGAGAGGAGACTGGTTATATATTAAACAGAATCCACTGTAAAAGTACAATAACCGATGCATAAACGAAATCCCATTGTACAGTCTATACAAAGCTTAAGCGTGATATGCATTTACAACAGTATTTACATATGTACAGACGTTGGTTTTTATGTGCGAATCTATGCGCGTATTAGACATAATTGTAATTCTATCAAAGGTTAATATTTTCTAATTCGCAGTTGGTTTTTTAATGAATGAGCGTATATGTATAGTGACATCTATTGAGTAAAATATTGGTTTGTTTACCTACATATATCATTTTTATTTACATAATATTTTTAACTTTTTTTTTATAACAACACAGACGCAAACACGCGAAGAAGAAGCACACTTGAGTGATCGGAAAAAAAAATGAAGAAAGTAGCAGTAGCAATAGCAGCAATAGACACGATAGAGGCAATAGAAGCAGTAGAAGAGGTAGCGACAAACAATATGATTATAGTATTATTAAACAAATATGTGAGACGCCGTCCAAGTGATCGAAATAACAACGAGTACATGTCAGTTTATCATAGCAATGGGTTGCAGCGTGTACTGTCGCACCTGTGCAGTACCTCCGAGAGCCGAAGCTGAAGGAATGATAAATATTTTTGCGAATACAAAAATAATAACGCTCTTAAGTACTCTTAAGGAGTGGCAATTGGATATTATGCAGGATGATGGATTATCTCAGTGTATTTGTAAAACATGCGAAGTGGCGCTAATAAAAATAGATAAATTCAGATTACAAGCTATGCGTGCTAAAGAGTACTTACAAACAAGACTTCATTCATTAGAGACGTCAATAGCTACTTATGGAGAAGTGATCAATGATAATGAAAATGACCTTCATGATAAAACGAAATCTGATGGAGTGAAGGAGCCATATGTTGAAGAAGCCATAGAGAGTTCATTTCAATCTGAAATTACAGTTACTCAAGTGGAAAAGAAAACAGTAAATGCTGCTAATGTAAATGAAAGCTTGAGCAATATAGAACAACCAAACATTGATGAATCAGGTTTAAGTGCTGTCAATGAAGAAACCGGTGAGTTATCGTTTGAATCGAATATTGAGTCTAGCAGACCGCTCGAATTTCAGATCATACTAATTGAAGAAGAAGAAGAGGCAACATCACAGTGGATAAATGAAGACGAAAATGCTGGTGAAAGGGGAGTTCAAAAAACTGCTAAAAACAATCATATTTCAGCGGAACCTACGCGGAGAAAATCAAAAAAAATACGGTGCTTCGCGGAACCCTCCAAAAGAAAAAAAAGAATCAAAAGACAAGAGGGAAGTACAACTGAAGATTATTTAAGTGACTATAAACAAAATAAAAAATATTTTAAAAAATCAGAACACACTCAAAACATCAAAAAGTGCGAATTAACATCTAATGGAATTTCGCAATCAACGCAATTGCATTTGGTACATAAATGTACAGCTGATGAGAGTACGCCAATTATTTACAACACAAATGACGCCAACAGAGATCCTCAAGAGCAAGTGAATGACCTTCACACATGGTTAACTACAATAAACGAACAGGTGGCATCATTTAAGCCGATAGAAGAATCAAATATCTTTTCAGCTGATGATTTACAATCCGTACTCTTGAATGAGTTATCGATGCAAATGATCAATGCAAATGTAAACATTTTGGAGGAAGACTTTCAAATTGATGAATTTGAATCATTGCTGGCAGCAGTTGATGAACAGGCCTCCACTTTGGGCTCATTTAAGGACAATAGGCCACCAAATTTAATTGCGACAGAATATAAAGAGAATGAAAATGCAATAAAATTAGATAACGTTATTCTAGAAAGCAATAATGCTAAAAAATCCTTAATACTTCATGTTGACGCTTGTCACTTAGCTAAACAGACAGTTGAGGAGACTCAACAAGTAAACAGTGACAAATCTGTTCTTTTACACACATTACAAAGCAAAGAAAGTGTTAATTATGGGAGAAATAATAAGCAAGAAGAATTAAGTGAATCTTCTTCCAACCAGAAATGGAGTGAAGAGTTTACTCAAATGAATAACAAACACCTCAAAACCCAATATAAATCTCTTGATATGAAACGATCAAGGAAAATATCTTTAAAAGGTATGCGTTGCCGCCTGTGTGTATGCAAGGTCTCGGATCAGCCGGTTTTCGCTACAAAACAGCTTCTAGACGATCATATATCATTGATACACGATGACAAAGAACGACCATATAATTGTCCAGAGTGTTCAGCGAGATATCGTACACGAAGCGGGTGTATAGCGCACATAAACGCTATACATTTGAAGAAAGGCGACAAATGTGAGTTGTGTGATAAAATTGTTGTTGGCGGGACTGGACAAATGCGTATGCACATTGAACGTAATCACACCCACGGTAACTACAAATGTGAAATCTGTCAGATGGAATTTAAAAACGTTTCACTTTACAATTTTAAATATCACAAAAGATGGCACAATGAAGATAAATTGTGGAGATGTCAACTTTGCGAGAAAGCATTTGTTACGCGTACTCATCTGTTGGAGCATAAAGTGACACATACACGCCAAGGCGATTTCCTATGCACACGATGTGGAAAAAGTACGCATAAACTATATATAAATCAGTAAATACATACACGAGTATACATATTTACATGTCGCTGATCAAATGTTGAAGAACCCTGATTAAATGTATTTTTATATTTATTTTTTGGAAAAATTTTATATCAAGCTTTTAAAGTTGCTAGCTTTATATATACGAAATAAGCCACACAAATAAGAGTTTTAATTTTTTTTTTGTTTGTGATTGAAATAAATATTTTTTCCTCCAATAAAATTCAAAATGATCAACGATACGTACTTACATGTACATTTATCTACCTAATCTAACATCAAATACATTAAATTTGACCTATTTGTAGGTAAGCGCAGTAAATGGGAACTTCGTACACACCTCTATTCCATTCATGGGGAAGGGGAACCGCCACTTAAATGCAATTATTGTGATGAAAGTATGTATAAGAATTAGTAAAAAACTCCATATACTTAGATATATATAAGTAAATTACATTATTACAGAGTTCACTCAGCATATACAAAAACGAGCTCATCTTGAACGATATCATCCTGATGAGTTAGCTAAACGTATAGTTCCTTGTGCAAAATGTGAAAAACATTTTTCCACAGCAACCAATCTTCAAAGACATATAAAACAATGTCATAATGCTGACTTAGAATTCTCCTCGGTTATCAAATCGTCAACGTCACAGTACGAAGGGTTTATGTGCGCACATTGCCCACGTAAATATCGTTCGAAATACGCGCTTATTAAGCATCTAAGAGTACATGCGGTAATGGAAGATCGTCCATATTCATGCCTTGACTGCGAAATGCATTTCAAGCATTTTTCAGAGTTAGATCGACATGATTTACAGCATCATGCTACTGTTCGCCCGTATAGATGTGATGAGTGTTACAAAGATTTCTCTACAAAAACGGCTCTCAAAATACATGGTCACGTTCACGAAGGTTAGTATTTATTTACCTACTGTTAATGAATTGCGAAATGGTCTCAATAACTGAACTACGCTCGAAATGTACATACAATACGCACATGCAATATGATAAACATTAAAACAAAGGATGTGAGAGAGAAATATTCTCTGTACAATATGTTACTCTATGAAGTTTTTTAAATTTTTTCATTTCAATTTCTACAATATAAAAATTTCTACTCAAAACACATATGTATGTACATATATTAAGAATAACGGCACAAAAATTACATATTCTATTTTAAAAGATTTCGGTTGGTGCTTTCTTACATTTAAAGAATCCAAATTTGATAATATATAAAATTATTTTTTTCTTTTAGTCAATGGAAGGAATTTTCGTTGTCCGAAATGTAATCTGCGTTTTAAATTTGAGAAATCTTTAAATTTGCATCTTATTTCGCATACAACAATGAGACACAGCTGCGATATTTGTAAGAAATCGTACATAAAGTTATCACAATTGAAGAGTAAGAAGTAAAAGTAAATTTTTGCCTAAACCTTAACTATTTATTATTTTCAGCTCATAAAAGCCGATACCACAGAAGAATGAGCGATTCGGAAGAAGAATAATGTGGAATAATGGAATATAGACAAATATGTTATTTTAAGAAATTGTAGTAACAGTACATTAAAATTTAGTTTTGCTAATGTATTTTATTTATGTACATACATTTGTACATATTTGTACCTATATGTGCGTTACTAACAAAAAGTAATTTGGGTAAAATTGTTTTTTATTTATTTCATTATTTAATATGATGCAACTATTAATGGTAATGTACTTACATTCTAAATGTATGAAACAGGAAATATGAAATTATTTTGGAAAGACTTTGCTATATATGTTTGCTTATATTTCGAAAACTAATATTTAGCGGCTTTATATTCGGGTTCATCTGCACTTCCTTTAGGAAACTTTCGCTTTTGTATAATATTCTAAAAAAAAAAAAAATTCATTCAATTTGGTAATATAAAGTTTGACAGTCAGAAACTCACCTGAATTTTTTGCCATTCACGATCCAACTCTGCCTTTTCACTCTTTTCAGTTTTGTTTTTTCGTGTTCGTCTACCGTCTTGCATTTTAACACCATATTGAAAAGCAGCTTTAGGTAAAGCTTCTTTAGTGCTCATATAGTCAGAATATTCTTCTTGAGTATCAAAGTCCCATCGCCCAATCGGTCCCTTTTTATTACCCAAATCCATTTTTGTGTAGTCTACTTCATCATCTGAATCGTCAATGGCATCATTCATCTCTTCTAGTCCGGGATAGCACTCTGCATAGCCTTCGGGTTCGTTGGTGAAGCGTGAAGCTATGGTTTTTGTAATTTTAGGCGGCGGGGGTATACTAGTAACAAGAGGCTCTATATCCTCGTTATCTTTCACATCACCAAAGTAAGAACCTGCCACACCTTTTGTATGACTTTTTTCCAATTTTGAATTATCTTTCTTTGAGTTGGGTTGATACTCCCCGATATCGTCATATATACTATCACCTAAAGGTTTTTCAGATACACCAACATTCTCAACGGATCCCGACGCGAGCATATTCAGTGATTGTTCCATTTCTTTTTCGTAGAAAAGTGGCTTGTCTTTGTCACGCTTTTTGTTTTTCTTATTACGGCCACCCGCCCGTAAGTAGGACAGAATTTGAGAGAGTTTATTTATAACTATATCGTTTGTTGTCAACGTAGCGATGTCCTCACGATTTACGGGAACTTCAAATTTTGATCGTATAAGTGTGGTTGGTATATCAGTTTCACCTAAATCATCTTCTAAATCAATAACGTAAGCCATGCGCCCGGGAGCAAATAGCTCAATACATGGCACCTCTTTTGAACGTCGAGATTGAATTAAATTGAACAGGTTACGCGCCATAGCACTTTTGATAGTCATAAGGTCATCAGCTTCTTTATTTTCTGCTTCAGCTTGTTCGGCTGCAGCGGTTTCAGCCAACTTTTCAGTAGCAGCCGCCACAGCTAATGCTTGTTCTTCAACTTCTTTAGTTTGCAATTCAGAACGCACTTTTTGAAGTAGAGCATAATCGAGACCTTTTACTAAATGGGTGTGACGCATATCACCGCCCAAAAACTTCGATTCTTGTATAATTCGACGCCGTCGCTCCGCTGCGTCTATACCTGATTTCAAATCTGGAGCAACTGCGCGGTATGCATTAGTGCTGCCATGACCAGGGGTGCTAACATTTTGATAATCTGGATTTGCACCGTCACGACGTTCACGTGCTCGATCCCGATATTTTTCCGAGAGTTGTTGTAGCTTTCCGTCTTCTTGTTTTTTCAAAGCTGCATAAAAGTTTTTCTTTTTTCGTCTTAGATCATTACGCTCACTGCTGGAACCTTGAGGTTTCTTTTTCTCCGCAGACGACGAAGTAGTAGTACTCGAGCTTATTGAAGGAGTACTCCCCGGTGGAGGCTGCCGAGGTGTAGCCAACAGCTTACGAAAGTCATCATTAGTCAAACGGACAGATTCAGCCATTAAATCTAATTTTCAATTACACCTTCGAATTAACAATTGAAAGTAATATTTGTAATAATCCAGATAAAACCTTTCATTGATAAATGTTTAGGAATGAGCGAAATTCGTTGAAACGATTAATTAATTGATTTCTTGACAACAATTTTCGATTAATATTTTGGCGAATATGCAAATACGAACAGAAGATGAGACCGATAACAAAAGGACTGTTTCAAACCTTCAAGAGATTCAAGCGTAAATGGTAATACCGCATTTCCACGACGCAATTCGCTGTCCAAATAGATGCTGAATTATTTAATTCGTCTTACAAATTTTTGTGAGCAAATTACACTAAAAGTGGGTTATTCGTTCCCAATTGGCATGCCAGTCACGATCAAATCGTTGCTAATTCTTATCGAAATTTTATCGAAATCTGCTGACAAACCAAAACAAAGGAGATAAAAATCATATAAGAAAAGACTGATACACAAATATTTATTTGAAATCAAACACTATTTGTATATTAAACAAGAAAAAAATTAGAGGTTATTAGAGAAACTGGTTTTACATTACCAATACAATTCAATATTTTGTTAACTTCTACTAAAATCTTTCAGATTTTTTTCGTCAAATAGAATAAACAAGCGAAACCGAGAACTCTCAAAATACGTGCCGTGTGAATAAGGTTCCCCTTCACATTCGTAATTGAGAGGACGAACAATATATTTCATGAGGCCGTGGAAGAGCCGTGTAAGGTATATAACATCGACTGCCAACATGACCGATACCGCTACATACACAGTTGTTCGACTATATTCAGCATAGATGCATTTACCATAGGTGCTTAAACCAAACGATAAATATAAAAGTTTCACGCTAAAAATGTTTTGTCTATCCGGTTTCGTACCGCACCTTGTCAGTTTGATTGTTTTCGTGGATATCGCTCGCCGCGTATTGTACGGATTATAGCTGTCTCCCCCGTTAAAACCGCGCCTGTTCGTTTGGTGCTCAATTCCGTTTATAATATTAATGTACGTGGCAACTCTGCGGATAATTTTCGAGCGCTGAGCTCGGAAATATATTTGTGTGATATTGTGTACGATATATTAATATTGTGTGCTTATCAGTTGTGTTTGGCATAAAATTTGTTTATCATTCATAAGACTTTAATTTAAAAAAGGTAATGCGATGTAGAGTGTTTATTTACAAGGGAGATTTTAGGAAGCGGAAGAGCAAATATATCTACGCTATCGTATTTCTCGTCAAAAGAAAGTACCCTATGAACTTATTATTGTATGTTAATGAGCACAATACCACGTCTGGTTCAGCAGAAGTCACTCGAGCTGTATTTAAAATTTCTTTGTTCCTCCGGAATTACACTTAAAATTCAAAGATACTTGCATCATGGCTTATAATATTGTCAAGATCATTCATGCTAGCCAAATTATAGATTCATCGAAGTTCTGAATTGCGGCTTAACATTTTTATATCAGCAATTTGTTTTCATTATTGTAACCGCAAGCAAAACCATGGACAATTCAATACATTTAATTTAGGAATTTCGTTTTAGTTAAACTGAAATCTGAATTTGCTTTGATTTGGATCAGCTAGTTTATAATATATAAATTGCCTAGTTATTACAGTTTAATATAAATATTTTTTTTATTTCAGTCTGAAGAATTTAAAGGATCTATACATTATGCGGAAAATACGTCGACGTTTCGGTTACAAAGTTGCGGCACTGCTGTCTTTACTTATAATAATTATTTTTCTATTTTTTATTGCACCAAAAGAAATGGATCGAAGTGAGAAAATGTACGGAAAATAAGCATATACATATATCTTATAGTTTTATGGAATTTCAAAGTAGGAACTGAATACTTATTATTATTTAGTCTAATAATGGAGCGTTCTATACGTTCTCCAATGAATCGTGGTGAGTGTCATCTGCCCCAATTACCAATGGATGATCCAGAAGTAATGAAATACTATCATACAGTCGAAAAAGTTCAGTGCGGAAATATTCTTGATGACTGGGTTACATGCGAGGTGATTATATGCACATATATATACAATTAAGTACACTTTTAATATATAGGCATTATTTTTAACGACATATCATTAATGTATCATATTTTACGAAATATAATTTAAGGAAAATACTATATTTTTAAAAACATTCGTGATTACATCTTCAAAACCCAACACATTAAACTACCTTAATAAGATACTATATTATATTATTTAATTACGATTTAAGGAAGGTCGAAAGTTAATGACGTTATATTTTTGTTTAATCATTTTTATACCTTTACAGAAATCCATATGCTTTGTTAAACCTGAAATTAGTGCAACTCACGGAGAAGTGTTGTGCACTTATACCGATATAATACGTAAGTCTGATTACGATAGCAGATATGGCAAATCGACTAAAACAAAGGAACCTTACATCTTACGGGATAGCGATTTTGTAAAGGTTGTATGTCACAGTGCTACATCTGGCAGTAGTTGGTATGGAATGGCATATGGCATACGTGATGGAGTCGCTGTGAAACCTAAAATTCCTCCAAAAGTGCCAATTTATGCAGGATTTGCAGCAGGGGAAAGCGATGTTGTCGATATGGTAGACGAAGACAATAGCTCCTTATTGCCGAAACGTTATAACGTATTAATGTTTGGATTTGACTCACTTAGCCGTAATGCTTTTCAACGCAAATTGCCAAAAACTTACTCATATCTCATGCAGGAATTAAAGGCAATTGTTTTAAAAGGTTATAATATTGTTGGTGATGGCACTCCACAGGCTTTAGTGCCATTGCTTACAGGCTACACCGAGCTAGAGTTGCCAGAGACTCGTACGCGTATACCGAATGCAAGGAACGTAGATGTTTATCCTATGATATGGAAAGAGTATGCACGTCAAGGTTACTACACTTCATTCAACGAAGATATGCCAAATATTGGAACTTTCACCTACCGTATGAAAGGATTTCATGAACAGCCAGTCGATCACTATTTGCGTACACTATATATGGAAGCAAGAAATATGTGGAACTGTTGTGAAGAACACTGTATCGGGCATCAAGCCGACCATATTGTTATGATGGAATATACGAAAAATGTGAGTAATTGACATAAATATGTTACACCATTTTCAAAAAAGAAAAAAAAAATCAAAGTTATACTTACATACATATTTGTTCTTATGTGTACCTTAATTATATTTGTATTTTTCTTTTAAGTTTATGCTCAAATACAAGGACTCTCCACGATTTGTGTTCAGCTTTCATGGTGGACTCTCACATGATTCTATTAATCTAGTAGGCGCAGCTGACGAAGATTTAAGCTCATGGTTGCGAATATTGAAGGAAACCCACGTCTTAGACAATACAATTCTTATTATGATGTCAGACCACGGCAACCGGTTAGTATCAACTACCTTCAAAACGTGAATAACACAATTTTGATCGTCTTCCCAGCTTAGAAAATACGCATAAATATAACTACATTGTAAGAATTTATCTGAGCGACTCCTTTATCTCATTATAATAATCATTTCTGAAGGTAATTTAGCAAGCAGTATGCCTGGTTCTATTTTCCTATCGCGTTATCGAAAATTAGTATTTATACTAATGAGGGAGTTTGGACCTGGCTGTATGATTCGTTTGCAATACCAATTTGCACCAAATAAAATTAGCGGCCGTGGTGGCCGAGTGGTTAGCATTTCGTACTGTCATTCGGAAGTCCAGGTCTCACGTCCAGGCACGACCAACATCCAAAAGTTATAGAAAATTAATTTAAATAAAAAATGAAGTTAAATTTTCTAATTGCGGTAGTCTCCGGTCGGCAGGGAATGTCAACCCCTCCGAGTGTATTTATGACATGAAATAAAAGCTCATCATGAAAAACCATCAGCCGTCCGGAGGCAGCTTAGTATAAACCCTAGGTCCCTCCATTTGTTGGAAAAACACCGCCTACCACAATTTTAAGGAGGAGCTCGGTTATATTCATAAATATTCTTTTTAAGCTTTATGAGAAAACTCTATACTTTCTTCTATAGTTTTGCAGCAGTACGGGCCACATTGCAGGGAAAACAAGAAGAGCGACTTCCGTTTTTCAGCTTTACATTTCCGCGATCTTTTCAAAAGCAGTTTCCGCATTACTATGCTAAATTCGTGGGGAACGCCGAATCTTTGACAACACCATTTGACGTTCATGCTACGCTTCAACATCTGATTGGTAAGTAAATCTCCCTCTTTCCTATGGCGTAATGAAAGTACTTTCAAGTTAACTTGTAAAATATGCTTCAGAACTTCAAAATAGTATTGTGGACAACGAGGCAGATAATTTAAATTCATATCATTTAACCCAGACCATGCCTACACCGTATGTAAAACGTGCCCAAAATCGCGCTATCTCACTATTCGATTCAATACCCAAAAATCGCTCATGCAGCGATGCTTATATTGAACCACATTGGTGTGCCTGCCTCAATTGGCAGCGTTTATCACTCAATGAAAGTGAATCTCATATGCCAACATTGCGTAAAGCGGCGGAGAGCATTGTGGCAACCATCAACAATTTAACCGATTCTTATCGTGCTCTATGTGCACCACTGGAACTGGAACGTATAAATTGGGCATTGCGACTACATCCGCATAAAGAGCTCATAACCTACAAACAAAACAGTGATAAGGATGGCTATGTGGCAGATATGAGTGACAAAATGCGAATACACGAAGAGTTATATCAGTTGCAAATCGTCGTTGTCCCTGGTCAGTCACTTTTTGAAGCTAGTGTTGTATATGATCTGGATACTTTCGAAATGCATACCAAAGTCGCAGAAATATCGCGTGTAAACAAGTACGGAAATCAAGCCAATTGCATATACGAACGTAATCCGGAATTACGAAAATATTGCTATTGTCGTGCGTAAATGCACTGAGGGTATTTAAACTAGTCGTTCATTATAAAGAACATTAAATCATATCATTGCTGACATAACTCCAATATAATTTACCTGTGAAATTTAAAATAACTCAAAATATACCAAAGCTCTCTATATCTGTAATTCATCTACACGGTTTGGTTAATTCAAAATTGTTGAATGTAAAAGCAAAGTTGTTCAACTTTTCTACCGGCTCAACACCAACATCGAAGCTCTTAAGAAATAAAAATTTCTTTATGAATAATAATTTTTTTTTGAACTTATCTAAGTGAATTAGAAGTTTAACATAAAATAAACTTAAAAATGTGCTAGTCTAAAATTGACACTGAGTTATTGTTTTGTTATATACAATACGTATTAATTGAAATAATGGCCAATATATAAATACAAATGTAGTCTTGTAAAAATTAATTTATGTACTTCGATTTAAATTTACTTGTATTATTATATAGAGATTCCAACTGAATTAAAATAAAGGTTTAAACAAAAAAATATTACTTCCGTTCATTTTTTTAGTAATTTAAAAAAAAACACATCACATTTAATTTTTTGTATAGAATGCATTAACCCCTCGGGACTTTTTTAATTTTTTATTGCAATGAACAAAATCGATTGCACCGATTAACTCTACAAAAAGATAATTAAGCCGACAAAAAAATATTTCATTCATAAAGAGTTAAAATATGGCGAGAGCAGTAGACCTTGTCAAACGGCGTGGATATTTGCCCTGGTATAGAATTTATCTACGTTGAAGAAGAATTCGTTGCCATTCTTCCTCATTTGCTTCAGCAGACAATAGATATACGAGCCCTGACCACTATTATTTCGCACGGCCAATGTTTCTACGCATATGCAGTGTTTAGCACACAATACGAGTATATGTGAAGATAATGCAGATAACACATACAAACATATATTTTTCTGAAAGATAATTTTATTCTCTATATGATAGAAAAAAATTTTGTTGTTATTTAACGTACAACAACAACAGAATTTATTTACATACACTATTCTTATTATTGTTTGCAAACGCTTGACCACTATTATTTCGTACGCTACAAACTTTACAGTCTATTTGGCTTAATATAATATATATACTTAATATTACGAGTAATACTTGGTAGCATCACCCTTAGCCTCTATAACACATTTACAACGATCCTGCATTGAATTAAGCAGGTATTGGCACTGCTCTGTTGAAATAGAGTCCCATGTTTCTTGCATGCTGTTGTTGTTGTACGCTAAACAACAACAAAAAAAAATTTATCAAATAAAGAATAAAATTATCTTTCAGAAAAATATATGTTTGTATGTGTTGTCTGCATTTTCTTCACATATATTGTATGCTAAGCATTGCATATGCGTAAAAACACCAGCCGTGCGAATTAATAGTGGTCAGGGCTCGTAATACCACTGTATTAATAATTCTAATTTAACTTTTTTTTCAATAATAATTGTTTATTTCACCAAATTATCAAATGTGAATAATACACAATACTACTAAGCAGCTGAGAAAAAATTCTACTTCGTAAAGCTCATTCACCCTAGATGATTTTTTCCTAGGGGCATGTATCTGTCGGCATTGATGATTCACAAGCAACAAAATTCTATGTAAAAATGTTTGTGTTTGCTTTTATTTGTTTTTTTTACATAACAAATTTTAATTCCTTTAATTATAATAGTAATTAAATATTTTATAGGTTGCTGCTTTGTTCTGTTTTAAAGCAAATTCTATTGTTATTGTTGTTTTATCTGCTTTTAACGCATAAAGTCACAGAGCGAAATAAATGTTGGTGATAATTTGTATATAAAAATTTCTGAAGACTTGCGAATGCGCTTTTTTCGCTTATAACAAAATGTGCTACTTTTTTAAATGATATCTTTAACCAAATACATTATTTTTTTACGGGTTTGCTGTCAAGCACAGGTTGAATAGTTTTACCACCAAAGATTTGACCCCAGCCAATTAAACTGTAAAACAAACTATTAATATTCAATCCAAACAAAAGTTAAACTAAAAATTCTTACCGCCAATGTTTTTCCACTCGACGACTAAGTGCAATTTTTTCACCTTTCTCAGTGCAAACAGGTGTGGTGAGTACAATCTTCGCTAAATCACCCTTAGTTGCAGAAATTCGGCCTCCTGTGCTTAAGGAACCAATATTAACCAACAAAATCTCATTTTTTTGCAATTTTTCAACGCGTGCGCCCTTCTTGTCGCCATCAGTGCGAACGCCAAGTAATCGTCGCAACAGATAGTAGGAAATTTCCAATTCAATGTATATGTCTGGAAGGTGACCAACAGCACCCAACACCTGGCCAACGAGACGATCAGCACGACATAAGGTAGGATCAATTTTAGTTCCCACACCAATTAAACCTCCAGGTACAGCGTACTGGAGTTCATTTTGTTCAGCGTATAATGAGACAATGCGCGAGAAAATTGGCCTGCAAGTGATATTACCCTCACTGTCTTTCGTGACAACTCCAGGACGCACTTCTATTTCCTGACCCACCTTAAGAACACCACATAAAATAGAACCGCCAGCCACGCCTCCTTTCAAATCGTTCACCTCACAGCCAGGCTTATTGACATCAAAAGAACGTATAACAATCAGCCGAGGTGGCGCCTTGAAGTCACGCTGAGGAACCGGAATCTTCTTAGTAATATATTCACATAATACCTAATTTGAAACAACATATATTTAATTAATTAGTAATAATCTGATCAAAAAACGCATTGAATTGGATAAACGCTTACTCACATCAATGTTATACTTAAGTTGGGCAGAAATAGGTACAATTGGTGCTCCTTCAGCAACTGTACCCTGAACGAATTTCGTTATTTCCTCATACTGTTCTTTGGCCTGACTCTCCTTCACCAAATCTATCTTGTTTTGCAAAATGAGGATTTGTTTCAATTTCATGATCTCAATAGCGGCCAAATGCTCAGAGGTTTGCGGTTGAGGGCAGGATTCGTTACCTATGTGTATATATTTATTGAGTGAAATATCAGCGCAAATATCTGTGATTGTTTAAAATACCGGCAATTAGCAGCAGTGCAGCATCCATCACAGCAGCACCGTTCAACATCGTAGCCATAAGAATGTCGTGACCGGGGCAATCTACAAAACTTACATGACGCACCAACTGAAAGCGGCCAGAACAGGAAGGTCGTGCACAGGGGAAACTATCATCCTTGCTTGAACCGTCAGAAATGAAACAAGCTGGTCGTGGACACTTCGGATTGTCACACTTATAAATTTTGGCGTTGGCGTAGCCTAAAAATGTAATAATTATACATGTGAAATACAATTGGCAGATACGAAAGAATAATGGATACAAACAACTCTATTTGCTTTGTCTTTTTATTGCCAACAATTTCCTAACAAAAAAAATCTATAGAGTTAAACGTAATTTTATATTTAAGTTGGATTTTTATTTTATTTTTGTATCTGTAACTTTAAAAATACTCTTAATAATTATTATTGATTTTACATTTAAGGTTGGCAATAGTAAAATTTATAAACATTCAGAAAATATTAACCACACCTTAAAGGCAGTGAATATCAAGCTTTATGCTATAATACTTAAATATAGAACATTGTTATTTCTTTTTTAAATGTATGGATTAAAATAGGTGAATGCTTTTGTAAATAAAATGCGTTTAAACAATGAATACCAGTGAACATTGGAAATTTAGGTTTATGATCCTCCTTACTACGAAGGAAATATCAACTTTTCCACAAAATCGATAATCGAGTAAAATTTAATATAAATTAATTCCCTCATCAGTTTGTTTACTCCTCTTCAATCAACGTTTTACAGTTTTTTTAGTTATATAATAATTTTGTTTTTAAAATTTTATAAAAGGATAAAGAATTTTATCAATTTTTCATCTGGTTAAAACAAAACTTTACGACAGTTCTCTGCGCCACATCGACATGAGACCTTTTCCGCAGCCGATAAATTTTCATAGTCTGTGCGCACATAATCGAAAGTTAATTCCTCTCCTGCCTTTATCGGTCGCAACGAGAAGAAGGCTAAACGAGGCATGTTAATATCCAGATTGTTGATCCAGAATGGAAATACAGCTAGATTTGGATTGCACGAATGATTTATAAAATGCGAAACATTGCCGTATAAAGCAGCGTCAATTGTATAAACACTCTCTCCGGATGTATTGTAATCCAAATCGAAGAGATAAGTTCGTCCAATGGCATCATATGTTTGACCGCGATCATTCGCCTCCTCACTAGTAATTATCTCTCCAACGTATTCACATACGTACTCCCCCTTCCGTACAGGCTTTTCGGTCCGAACACCCCAACCGCATCCGTTAGAAGTACGAAATATACATAATTTGTTGCTCCGTCCACGTTGTATAACGCGATTTACACATTCTTCATTGCACACACATCTACTGTTACATTCATAGATGGCCTCTCCTGGTCGTATACGAAGACGACCCGCCTTATCATAAGCAAAATAGCTATCTGCCATACGTGCACAGCACGAAGATAATGGTGCACATTCATTTTCACATTTACAACCTATTGGGGGATCGTCTTGCATTTTGACGTTTTTTCCTGCGAAGCTTTCCTTAACGTATTTAAATGCTGAATCAATCATCTCCAAGTCAACCACGTTCTCTACTGTTATCGGTGCTGCTTGTTCTACTTGGTTCATACGCTCTTGAAAGGTTCGCAAACCAATTAATTGCTGCTTACGTCGATAATAGACAGGCTTCATGAGCATCATATTAATGACTCTCTTTCGTATTTTTTCCTGCTCACGCTGGCTCCGAGATCGGCATACACGGAATTGCGCAAGTAATATTAAGTCTGCTTTCAATATAAAAGGATCATATTTATCCAAATCGTTTACTTTTAAAGTGGTTATATCAAATACTAGGCTTTTTTCTGCAATTTCCGCTTCAATTTCCGTAGTCATTGTGGAAATAATAATCTCAAACCTAGTGTATAGTGATTCTATGAATGGTTCAAATAGTGCACATTCCATAACATTGTCAAGAGACTCCCAAGTATTGGTTTCAGGAGGATAACCAAACCACTTGACAAAAAAAATGGGATTGCCATTAAACGACTCAATCGATTCTATGCGCTCCACTACATATTCGCCGTTCTCTTTGAATTGATTAAATTTTTGTCGCTTTGTAATACGTGTTCCTTCAGCTTTTGACTCTTCTAGAGAATTAGCAGACTCATATTTAGCACGTTTATTACCCGTTTTAGTCCCTTCGCTTAATGCATTTATGGCATTTGTGAAGACACGTGAACGCGGTGTGTTATAATAACTGCTTTTCTGATCGATATGCATAGAAGTACCGCTTTCAGAGTGACTATCATAGCCGCTGCTGGGGCTTGTCGAGCTGCCTCGATTCAGTGTGTGAGATCTATCGAAACTGCTGCTGCGTGCCGACGTTGTAGTTAACTGGGTATCTGCGCTGACACTACGATGTTTTTGCTTGCGGGCTCGGAGTACCGGACGTTCATGTCCAATTGGCAAGCTATTACGACGTTTCGCATCCAGCTTCGCTTCATAATCTCGCAGTAACTTTGGCGAACTCAATAATGCGCGAACCCTTTCATCGCTTAGACGTTCTGCATAATTCGAATTTCCATCAAGCAGTAGCATACGTCAAGTTATAAATCGATGAAAATCGAGTTCAGTAGCACGTATGGAATTCCATTTAAAGTGAAAATATAAATGACAAAGAAAAACAGAAAAAAACAAATTAAATTAATGCTGGATTCTGCTTTTTAAGGTATTGATTTTGAATAATGGCTACTATGTGCTCAAGCGAAAACAAAACTTTATAACTAATCTTAAATAAGCACATTTTTTATAACTTGGAAAAAAAGGTAGGAATGATTTAATTTTCATGTGCCAAACTACCAAGAAGTCTAACAATTATTTCCTGAAATATATAAATATTTGCTTAACACTTGTTCTAAATACAAAATTACACTTAATTCATGACTGCAAATATTCCAGCAACTAATTTAATTAATAATACTTTAAATGGAATTCCTTTGATACGACTTTTTCTATCTTTAACAAAAATATTTAAGTTTATCTTTATAAATGCAATGAAACGTTGGAATTGAATACCAGCTGACAGCTTACAGAGCATATGTATTCTTGCAGCAACTCCCATAAATAAAAGGTATGCCGATTTTGTCGGAAATTAAAGCGACCCAATACAATGAATAAACTGTATTTATATGAGGTTAATTATAAGGGCTTACTTACTAAAAAAAAGCAATGCATTTTGGAAACTTTCAACATTCGAGAAATAATTTTAATTGATTTTTTGGTCAATATCGATTTTAATAAATTAATTCTGACGAATATACTTTCCAAAACTAGCAACAAAAAAAAAAAAAAAAAATGGAGATATTATGCATACTGAAGACGTTTCTTAATAAGATAATAACGTAGTAATAAAGTGGTACCAATTCACAAAAAGCGTTTCGTTTTTAAAGATTTGCAATTTTGTAAGAAGAAACTAAGATTTCACCAAAATGACATCCATTAGATTTTTAAACACAAGTTTTGTAAGAGTATAACATGGAAACACATGAACTTAGTTCTGAATTTCTCTAAATTGTTTAAAACAGTTAATTCCTAATTTTATGTAAATTTAAATTTTACTTACCGAGCTTAATAGTAATATTTCGCTCCAGTTCATTTTTAAAACGTACAGTTTGTACTCCTGAAATTGCTTTAACAACGGTTGATTTACCGTGTGCTACATGTCCAATTGTACCAATGTTAATAGTAGCCTGGCGTGAAATTACCTCTGGAGAGAGGGGGGTCAGATTTTCTATGTCCTGGAAAAACATCAGTTTATTTATAAAAAAAAACTTTATTTAAGCAAAGATTTAGAAAGTTTAAGCAAAACACCCTATTGACAGAGGAAAACACACAATACACACCTAATATTGTAGTTACCAAGTGCAATTTACAGAAATGAGGTTATAATCATCATATTGCATCAGAAATGTATACAGCTGATTTGTCTTATTTTATTTGAGAAAACCCCTACATCGATGTACCTATAAATTAACTATGATTCTGTTTAACACAAAGGTATCGGAAATTTTTATGTTCTTCCTCCTATAAGGCCACGTGCAGCATTTCACATTTTTTTTTCAGAATGTCCCCGACATTCACAAGGCAACTATTGAGCCAATGTAATTAAATGTATATCATTAATTGGAAGAACATTTTAAATATTAAGACACGGACAAATAGAACACAATACAGAAATACATCACATTTAATTCTTTGTAAACTGTGTATGTCGATTTATACTAATTGACATCTGCCGCGTTGTCTTCTGTTAAGATTATATGCCATTTTGCTTTGCTATTCGTTCGGTGAAATGCTCAAACTTTTATTGTTTTAGCAACTTACCAAATTACTAAGATCCTGTTTTTGCAAATTTGTATTCACGCCTATTTGTGCTTCTGTCGCAGACATTTTTTATATTTTTACTATCAATTCGCACGGCAAAAACAAATTATTAAATTCACACTCGTTTACGCCTAAACATCAAAATTTATCGGTCACTTAAAAAGAAATATGCCAACTTCACGCGGCGCTTTCCTATGAAGGAGAAAACTAGTATAACAACAAGAAAGAGACAACTCTCGGAATAGTTTTTTGGTTTTATTTTAAACTGAACATACTACCCGAATTCGCTTTCTTAGTCCGGGCTTACACAGAGATATTTTTTACCGACGAAACACTCGTTTGTACGGGAAAGGGCGACGACGTAGGGGCAGCTCGCTCGACACTTTTTGCATTTCTATTCGTCTCTGTAGATTTTGACATTCCCTTTAATTTGTTTTTTACTTTGAACTGATTGTAGCTGCCTTAAATTTCAAACGAATAAATGCCGTAAATTTGGAAATAGAAATTTGGGTTTTTACTACAATATTTACATATATTATTTATAAATTAATAAATATTTCAGGTAATGGAGTTTGCAGATAAAGTTTAAATAATGCAAGACATATTAGAGAGTGTTTAAAAAGTCCCTGAGATTGACTCTGATGATAGTGAAAAGGATGAGCTATGTAATTAGATTACACTTTGGAAGGGGTAGAGTTGATGTTTAATCGAATGTAAAAATATATAAAAGAAGTAGATAAATAAAAGCTACGTCTTCCTTTACACAAACAGGGTTTTTATTTTGAGGGTGTAAAATAAAGCGGGGTAGAAAAAAAATAAAGAAGAAACTAATTTCAAAGAAATTGCTTGAATGAGGTGATTATGTTTGAACATGAAGGGTGACACTAAAAAGGAAATTACGATACTAGACGACAAACTTAGACTATACATGGTTTGACTGCGGCGACCAAAATAGCTTTCTAGCGGTAAACGGTATATTCGATATTCAACATTTCTAAAACATAATTGGCTTGCTAAATTAAGTTATATTAAGACATTGCGGGAGTGACATTGTTTCATTTGACGGTATAACGAGAGAAATTGCTTGTTGAATTAAGTTATGTAAGCGCAGGATAAGGTTGAAACGATTATCGTATCGTATTTATTGATGAATCTAGGTAACACTATTGAATGCTCAGTGCTACCAATATTTGCATGCAAATTTGCCGGCATTCAACGCATTCGCCATTTATTTCTGATCGTCACTTTGCAACAGTTTTGTGCGGCTTTTCTCAATTGGTATTGTAAAAAGAAGAAAAAGGGAGGAAGAAATAATTACAAATTGCGCTTCTTCGTGAGTAAAAACTGTCACGGTGTAACGACTGTACTCATTTGTATTTTCAGTGGAAGTGTAAAACTAGCAGAAAGGTTTTAAATTAATTAAATCGTGAAATTACCGACATGTCCAGTCAGCCAAGCAAAAAAGCTAAGTTGTCGAATGATGGCGATGGCAACGCGGCATCTGCTAACGCGCCCAATGAAGAGGAGTCTGAAGCTCTAGAGCTTATTGATGCTTGTCAAAATGAGATTGATGCACTTAATGAAAAGGCCAGTGAGGAAATACTGAAAGTAGAGCAAAAATATAATAAATTAAGGAAGCCATGCTATGAAAAGCGTAGTGAGTTGGTGAAACGGATTCCTAACTTTTGGGTGACAGCGGTAAGCAATTAAATTCTCTATATATTAATCGAGTTAGGCTCAGGGGATTAAATTTTATGATCAAAAATATTTTTATTTTATTTCCTTCTCTTGGGTACATAAGTGGTAATGTTGTTTTTGGTATGAGTACTGAAAGTGCAAAAATTGTGTATTCTGCATGAGTTCTTTTGCACGTTTTTTTCGTACCCTTTTTTCATTAGCATTCATAAGTCTGCCCAGCGCTAGCGATTCTCATACCCTCGCAATTGTATTGACGTGTTTGTGTAATTCCTCACTACTAGTCACGAAACGGCGTGGTACTTTATGTACACATTTTCGCTTCTTACATTCTTTTGAATTTTTGTTTGTCGCTTTTTTTCCGAGATTTTTGAATAATTCTCATTTGCCTTGAATTCATTTTGCATTCGAACAATTTGGAGGGACGGTCTAAGTTTATTTGCAAATATATCAAAAAGTTGTATGCTTTAATTCACCGTAGCATAATTGGTTACTATATAACGCAACTGCCATATTGACTGGCGTATTATGCAAATATGATGGGAGGCTTTGTATGCACTGAAGCGATTTTCAGTCGATCCCTCAGATTTTATATATATTATAAGTCGCCTTCGAACGACCAATGGATTTATATGGGATTTTATTTGATGTTAAAAATACACTCGGAGACATTCCCTGTCGAGGGACTATCGCAATTTATCTTTATAATTGAATATGCATATTAATTAAACACGTCGATTATGAATGAATATATTTTTTTCTTTCTACGCAGTTTATCAACCATCCACAAGTGTCTGCTATTTTGGATGAAGAAGAGGAAGAATGCCTGCATGCACTTACTAAATTAGAAGTAGAAGAGTTTGAGGACATAAAATCGGGATACCGCATTCATTTCTATTTTGACGAAAACCCTTACTTTGAAAACAAGGTGCTTACTAAAGAATTCCACTTAGGTTCGGGAAGTAAGTCCAACATTGAAAATTTAATAGCCTACTAAAAATTAAAAAAATATATTTATTTGTATTAAATAATTTATTATAATTCATAGATACGGAGAATAGCGACTGTCCATCGTCAACGAGTACACCCATACAATGGAAGGATGGTAAAGACCTTATAAGGTCATGCATGACAAAGCCGTATCAGCAAAATAAGCGGAAAAGACCTGCGGACTACAAAACGTTTTTTGACTGGTTCTCCGATAATACTGATCCCGTTAATGATGAAATTGCAGAACTGATCAAAGATGACTTATGGCCAAATCCTCTTCAGTATTATTTGGTACCTGATATTGAGGTTGAACCAGAAGACGATGAAGATGACAATGAGGATAATGAAGGTATTTTTCACATTTAATGTTACATTTTGTGGTATTGCATCATTAGAAATTATATCAATTTTTACAGAGGAACTCTTTGATGATGATGACGCAGAAGGTGAAGATGATGACGAAGAAGGTAAGCATTCATTTGGATAGTAACAGATTGATTTAATTGTACAATATGTTCATGTTCATTCAATTTCAGATGAAAAATAAACAGCGCTAAAAGTTTGATTTCTTAAAAAGTCTTTTCAAACAACGTCAAAAATAAATGTCTTTTATAGTAAGAAATATAATCAAAAGTGTCCAACAGTTTGATATTTCTTTACATTCAAACTAAATTTAATCTTGACATAACTATCGAATAGAATATCGTTTTTACGTTTCTTTAGTTTTAAAGGATTTTCTATTTGTTGAGTTGTAAAAAATTGCTGCGCTATATTGCTTGTCAAAAGACTATAATTTCCTTAATATGAAATTAATGTAAATGGATACTTACTTCATGGACAGAACGTAATTCTCGTAAGAGATTGGAAATAAATGGTCGAAAACCGATTTGTTTTTTTTTTATTTAGTTTACTTGTTTTTATGTTTTAATAAAGCGTGTTCCATCATTCACAAAAAAAGAGTTAGCACATTGGAATTGAGTTTTCAGACTATCTTCGTATAGTTTATATTTTGCTGTAAAAGGCATAAAAATATCCATAGGATTGGATTTTATATTTTCTGCCAAAAAAATTTTTGTGCCTGATGTATTTATATGAGAAGCTTTTAGTTTCATATCAAATGCACTACCTTTCCGAATGGCAGTATTTGTGAAGAAAATTAATTTTGGAAATCAGGACTAACTTTGATATTAAAATTGATTTTCTATCATTTCGAACCATTACTCTCCGTCTGATAGCAAGCACTGATAACCACTCTGCTACCTTTGATGAGGGACAATTTACGCACTTTGTTTTGAAAGTCGACTTTCGATACCGTTAATCGACATTATGATAAAAAAAACTATTTAACGTTTTCCACGGCACCACGTCCACTCTCAATTGTAATTTGCACTAAAACATATGCTGAATTATTTAATTCGCCACACAAATATTGGAGAGTGAATTACTTCAAAAAGATGAAAAATGTAAATTTCAATATTATATTAATTATAATGCCATTAATTTTGATAAACTGATATGCTGGATAAAATTGATTGTGTCGATTTAATGGAAAATATTTTATCTGCATTTCTGCAGACAAAGAACTTATGTTACTAAAAAAGGAAAAGAACTATGAAAATGTAGGACAGAAGTTATTTAAGACAAGTTACTTCAATTAACAGTGTCCGGAGCCCCTACTTCATATTGCGATTCGAAAGCAAGATGCGATTCACGACAGCCCAATTACGAGTTTCGCTCTCTCAATGCCGAATTATTTAATTCCGCATACAAATTTAAATGAGCGATTTACAGAGTAAGTGGGTATTTCGTTCTCAATTGTCATTCGAATTACGACCAAATCGATGCCTTCTCTAATTATTATCGAAAACTGTCAAACTGCTTGCCGTGTATATTAATATACGTTCTTTGATCAGACCTTTATTGTATGGCGGTTAACAAAAGTTTTATAATCTAAGCCCCTTATTAAAACGACATGCAATAAGTAGGAGATTTGCCAACTACTTATTTATTATTAATTATAAAGTTGGCAACGTTCAGTGCCATCCAATAATTATTTTAGCTACATTGTGGGAAAATTTCTTCAGATTTCACAGGATGGCTGCTGCAAATAAACTTGGTCTTTTGGTATGTTAAGTGTTGAACTTATAGACGATTTCATTGTTATTAATAAATTGCATGTCCTAACCGTCAAGAGAATTTCTGTAAAATACATATTTAAATGCCACAATAGAAAAATTTTAATGCACTTATGGTTATGTAATTTTATTTTGTGTGATTTCTTAATTATTTTTAGAGCCGATCCCTTAGCTCTACAACCCAATTTGTAAAGCCTCCTGTTCAGGTTTTCGGTTTGGAAGGTCGGTATGCTACATCCTTATATTCAGCAGCCTCCAAGCTAAAGCAGTTGGATCAAGTGGAGAAAGATCTGAATGCATTGCAGGTTGCCTTAAAGAGTAATGTTTCGCTCCGTATGGCCGTTACCAATCCCATAATTAACAAAAAGTTGATGTCGAACACACTTAAGGAGACCGCAGACAAACTAAAGATGGCACCAGCAACTGGAAATCTATTAGGTCTTTTGGCTGACAATGGTCGTTTGAAAAATTTAGATACGGTTATAAATGCCTATAAGACCATTATGGCAGCTCACCGCGGGGAAGTTGTTTGCGAAGTCGTCACAGCCAAGCCATTAGATTCATCCCAGAGCAAACAATTAGAGTCAGCTCTTAGGGTAATAGAAAATTCTTATGAAGTAACGATCTGTTTAGTAATTTTGTTTAATTCTTCGTTATTGTGTTCATTTCAGTCGTTTTTGAAGGGCAACCAACAGCTGAAGATCACATCACGAGTGGATCCTAGCATTATTGGTGGATTAATTGTGTCTATCGGAGATAAATACGTTGATATGAGCATTGCCAGCAAAGTTAAACTGTATACCGATGTAATTACTTCATCGGCATAAGTAAAAGTGTTATAACTGAAAGGAATGAATGTAACAAATACATAAGATCATTTACCAAGCGAGAATAAAATAATTGATTCTTAATCTTTGATCGTTAAGGTAATTCGTTTTAATCTAAATAGTATGGAATAGGCTTCATAAGAACCACATGCTGGTTATTCAAAATAACTAAAATAGAAAACTTATCTAATTAATAGTTATTTTTGGGCCATTATATTTCCGAAAAAGTAGGTGCACCAAAAAAAACCTAAGTAGTTGGAATGTTTACTTTATATATTTTTCAGCCAGATGGATACGGATAAACGTTTTCACAAGAATAAATAATAAAACTTAACTAACAAAAGCCATTTACAAAAAGTACGACACAAATGTACTTATAAAATTTTTTCTTAAGATCTAAAAAGTCAAAAAGAAAATTTTATATATTTTAAAAGATTATAATTTGTCAATAGGATCAACGTCGGGTTCAATTGTATCAATGTCCTTCATATCCAGTGCTAGCCGCAGGCCTTCTACATGTTCAAATAATGTTTTATGTCTCTCACGGAAGCGATCGCGAGTACTTTCAAGCTTTTTTATTTTGATTAATTGATCACCAATAACTTTTAATAAAAAGGGTATGTCATTAGCAGTTAACGGACCGAAAATTCTATCCACCACAATTATTTCTAGATCTTCTTTCTTTGGTTTTGACTCTTCTGCTTGCTTCTGATCCACTTCTTTTTCCGTTGAACAAATTTGCAAAGGATTCATTGGAGTTACGATGCATTTGGTTGACGAACCGGATGCAGCTATTTCCTCTGCCGACAAAATTTCTATATCAGAGTCTGTGCTTGGCGATATACGTTCTTTTCCAAAATGATTTTCATTATACGATGGCGAGTTTCCTATCACCTCGGTAGACTCTTCAATACTAGACGAAATTGTCTCTCGAGGATGTAAATCTGAAGTTGCATATATAGGTTGTTCTTGGAAACCATTGTCGCTATCCAGTGTCTCCATAGCAGATTTTAACATTGCACCCAAATTTTCCTTGGATGAGGTGCTCAATATGGCATCTGATGTCTCATTACTTGGAATATTTTCCTTATTTTCAAATGCACTACTGCTACCACTGCCACGGCTACTACTTCCTGCGCTGCTGTGCAAATCCGATGTCATTCTAACTTTATTCACACTGCCGGTAGGGGAGTGCGTTTGTGAAGGCAATCCAGATGATTCATTTGATGATTTTGTTTGTCCGTTATCATGTTTTGTACGGTTAACGTTAGAAGAATTTACTGTTACTCCGTCTCCGATGTCCATTTTTTACTGTGACTATTTATTTTCTGTTAATATAATCAAAATTATTTTTCTAAAAATTAGATATGAATTATTGATAGTTAATCCCACAGTAATTCTAGTTTAAAAATTTTGAGTTGTGCTCTTATTATACTATTTGCTTAACTATCAAATAAGAACTTATTAGCAGTTTAAAGCTTGCAATGCACTTTCGACAACGAAATGCATTCTAAAATTGTATGCTAGTACACAAATATATAATATTTGTATGTACATATTTATTAACAATGTCTTGACGTCATTAAGCGGGGCTGCTAGCAAGCAAACCTTACTAATTTCGGCGTAGATTACAATTAGGTCAAATTATATATATTATTTACTTATTTATGGTAGCTAACTAATTACCTAACAGTTATAATTGCATTTATTTAAAATGATTGAAACCTATTTCCAAATTTCTAATTGTTTTGCAAAGAAAAGTGACGTTTTAGGATCTGGAAACGGCAACCCTGCAATAATGCGATGTTTTCGAACATATGTTTGCAATACATGTAGAATTTGTGGATGTGTTATGTTGATTGTTTATTTATTGTTTAAAAATAGAGAATAAAATAAATATTAAATAGCATCATTGTGATAAGATAAAGCGAATTAGTCTACAATATTTTTCACTCAAATTGTTATCAACACGGTATTAGATGGTCCATGTCGTTAAATTTTCGTTTTGTTAAGAAAAGATTCATGAGGCTGTAGGGTAATATTCTCTCTTGTTGTTCGAGCAGTTTAAGGCAGGCACACGATTTAGCAAAATGAATTCAACCAGTAATACCATTGACCGCGGGGATGGTGAAAAGATTCTAGCTATATGTGTTTTAGGCCTAGGAAGTTTGTTATCCGGAATGCTTCCGGCCTTCATTTCAGAGCATAATCGTCGACGTTATCCTCTCACCACATCATTATTATTGTGCTTTGGTGCGGGTGTTCTTTTGGCCACAGCTATGGTCCATATTTTGCCAGAAGTACGAAAACAGATGGATTCAAACCTTGCTGAAATAACTATTTGTGGAGGATTTTTTATAATATATTTTATTGACGAATTCATACATAATTTTTTTGGCGAAGCGATACAACATACACAGCATAACACTACTTCAAGTAGAAGCAATAATAACAGCTATGGTGCACTGCACCATGATACCACCCCGCTTATAAACAATGGTCACGAGCATAATGATATCTAGTAAGTCTTTGTCTCATAATATTAAAAAAATATAATAAATTTGTTTGTATTTATTTTAATTATATAGCCACGCTGAACAGCCGCGAACTAACGACTATAATGAGTCAGCACAACAACATTTACACACTCATTCTAATCATTGTGTGGACCAAGCAGTTGTAGCAGAATCAAATGCTCGAATATGTCATTCTAGCCATCAGGAACCATGCGGTCAATCTATGACTGGCACATTGGGTCTTTTTGTAGCATTATCTCTACACTCCGCCATCGAAGGTATAGCAATTGGCGTACAGAACTCAGCTACAAAGGTATAATAACAGTTTTTAGATGAAGATAATATTTACATATCGTTCACCTTTTTTAAAAGAGGAACACTTCAAAATGTGTCGTGCCTCTCGGAATAATAGTTTTTCATATAAATTTGGCACAAAATTCACTTATTTTTTTTAGTATAAATTTACCTGTGATTGACATAGCTCTGTGTTTACATATCAATATGTTCATATATATACACTATACATAGTGAGCTAATGTAGATGGCAAATAATTTCTTATCGCTTTATTATGTTTCAACAAACTTGGCCTAAATAATTATCAGGGCATATTTGTTATAATAGTCTTTTTATCTGGACGTGTTTGAATATACTTTAGCGTCTACATAAATATATTTTACTATAAACATAAAATGTGAAAAGCCGAAAGGCTAAGAAACATTTCGCAATTGTTTTTAAGTTTTATACCTTAATTTTTTAGGTTCTGTTTCTACTTGGAGCTGTCGCTTGCCATAAGTTTGTTATGGGCTTCTGTTTAGGCTTAGAATTTCGCTCAAACCCACATACAAGTCTGCGAAGGCATTTTATTGGAATTGCAGTGTTCGCAATGGGTGCTGTTTGTGGCATTGTACTCGGCATGATAATAGTCGATGTACCATCGAGTTGGTCCAGCTCAGCGCTTCCGGTTGTGCAGGGCCTTGCTGGTGGAACGCTCTTCTATGTAACAGTGTGTGAGGTTATACCCAGAGAGAAGGCACGTTGGCATCAAAACTCTGCTAGAAAAACAGCTGGATTCGGGCAGTTTTTAACAATATTTAGTGGTTTTGCGCTAATGTGTATAATTAATTATATGCTAGCCGGTAAGTTGTGCACATACTTTGACGAGACATATGTTTAATTTAACATTTATTTTTTATTTTAGATGATGATAGCTAGTTGAAGTGAGTTTTTATGGCAAATCCCCATTCAATCTCAAATATCATCTAAATTTTTCTATCATGTTTGGTTATAAGAAATGTAAAGTTTGAGATTTTGTAAGTATGTCTTTATTATAGTAACATAAATACATAGTCATAGATGTTTTAAACATATCGTTAAACGGGCTTCAATCAAATGAAAGTTGCAACCAATTATCGTTTAGATTTATTTCAAATTATTTTATAAGAAAAAATCCCAATTAAAAAACTTGCGTGCTCAATAGACTATCATCAAAATTCATTGTTTTTAAATGTAAGCATATTGTCTTCTTATAAAAAACGGAATACCGATGATAGGAATAACATTAATAGTCACACTATAACGAATTCAACGGATTTTTTGCGCGAAACTATAAAATGTGCATACAATTTTCTTTGAATTTTTGTTTTATGCCATATGTATGTTGAAGAATGACATATATAATTGAGTTCTACATTATTATTCTACAGCTAAAGATAAAAAAAAACCCGCTTGGTTCTGGAACATACTTTTGGTAATTTTTGCAAAGATAGATATGATATATTCCAAAATAGATTTATTGAAATTACTAGATGAGCCATCAATTAAACAATTTTAATTATTTTTGGATATGCGATTACCATATACACCAAAATGTTGTGTAGATGAGATATTGAAATACAATTCAATATCCACATATATATTTGTTTCCTACTGTCGTGATAATTTTCAAAGTACTAAATGATCAAAGTCGCAGGCCAAATATTATAGGCCTAACCATACATGCGTAAGTGCTTGCTGTGAATAAACTATTGTTTTCCATTTAGGTTGTTTATATTTCTTTAATGTATGGCTAAGTAACTGAGAATCATTAGTTGAGTATATGTATATGTATGTACTATGTTTTGTATGTTGTTTCTAAAATGTATATTATAATTATTTACAATATTTTGGTTCGCATAATTTCTGATTTCTAATATAATAATGTTTGCCATAAATTGCTGACCTAGAAGCTATGCAACGAAAAATTTATAATACAAATGCATGTCTTTCTCGTTTGACAAATTAAAATTAGTATTTCATCAGGACTGAAGATTTCATCTTCATGTACCATAAAATTATGAAACCATTGTAAGATAATAAATTTTGCGAATAAGAAATACGGAACAGGAATTACTTAAATGTTACAAAATTGTAAATTATATATTTTTTTTGTAAATAAAAATAAAACACGAAGTGAATTCGCATTCATTAATTATAAATTAAGGTAACAGCTTAACGTATATGTACTAACAACCACTTATGTGGTTTATTTCCTTCCGTTTAAGTTTTTAATGCGTTAACGCATGTATTCATAACCTATTCTATATATCCCTTAATATTTCAGTTTAAAAACTTACATAGCAATTAAATCTAGTTCTCAAAGTTGCTCTTTATCCTCTGCTGTATTTACAGCCGAAGTAGGAGCAGATTGCTCGTCTTCCTCATCTTCACCCCATTCGCTAATAAGACTATTTAAACGATCAGATGGTTTTGTTACATCAACACTATCTGCTGTTGTTTCGACGGTTGTAGCGGCAATATCTTTTACTACTTCTTCTACAGTTTCAACACTATTTTCACCGCCCTTAGCTTCACTCTCATGTTTTACATCCACATCAGCATCTTTGCTATTAAGTTCGTCAACTTCCATAGATAAATCATCTTTAACTGTGTCTGTTGATATTTTTGTCACTGCTAAAGTAGAGGCTGGAGCCTCTGTGCTCTCTGCTGTTAAATCTTCTGTTTTAGCTGTTGTGAGTTCTTTTTTAACAAGTTCATCTAGAAGTATCTCGCGTGATAGCGGGATTCCGTCGTCAGCGGCCTCGATAATATCATCATTTTTATTTTTATCTTGTAGTGAAACGATACTGTCTTCTTTTGTAATTTCTTCATTCGAAGCAATGTTACCAATTTTTTCTCGATCAACCACATCGCCTTCAGTAGAGCTTTCTTCCATTTTCGGTACTTCTTCCTCTTCCTCTTCCTTTTCTTCATCTCCAATATCTACATCCTCCTTATGTAAATTTTTCATTAATGTATCTAAATCATCATCATCTCCTTTTGAATCATCTGCGTTTGCGTTTGTGTAACCAGGATCATCATCCTTCAGGTTATCATCATTTTCCGCGGTATCAACGATGTTGGTTTCAAGTTCCTCTTTTTCTTTTTGGATAGTTCCTTCCTCTTCAGTAAGCTTTAAAACTTGCTCTCCTGTTTTATTTTCTTGTATTTTATCATTATTTTTCTCATCCTCTAAGCTTAAAGAAGAGTCTTTTGGTACACGTACATCAGAACTTGTAGCCATGGCCTCTGCTTGTTGATCTTCATCATTTTCGTCTTCTGACCAATCACCAGTTAGTTCCTTCAACTTCTGGTTTATTGCATCGTCAGTTTTATTTTCCTATAAAAAAGTAAAAGGTTCGTAATTTTATATTCTCTAACAATCTTACTTACTTTAATACACACCTTAACTTTTTTTTCCGCTTCCATTTCTTGATCAGCCATCTCATGTTCACTGATCAAATTTTCAGCCCATTCCAAGTTTTCTATTGATTCTTTGCTTTCATCTAATGCACTTCCCGCTGTAATCATTTTTTTATCATCAACAGTTTCTGCAGATCTCATTTCTTCAGTTCCCTCTTCATCGCCATGTGACCCTTGGGCATTTTGAAGTTCGTTATAAATTTGGCTATCATCGTAGTCTTCTTCTGTAATTGAACTTTCTGCGCCAGCATTCCCGGTTTCTTCTTCCATGGCTTCTACTTCCTGTTCGGTGCTCAGTGCCGTCTCCGCTTTTTCAGCATTACTCTCTACGTCTCCTTGATTAGAACTTATTGCTGTCGTTTCAGCTGTATATTCTTCAGCGGGTTCATTCAATACCATAACAACACCTCCAGCTCCATGGTCCTGATTCAACTGAGCCATGATCTCCTGACGTTGTTCATCTGTCAAAATCATTTCATTGCCTTCGACATTAACAAATTTCGGTTCCGTAGTAATGATGGTGCCTTCATCTGTTCCTAAAAATTGTTGATGATCGCCAGCAATTCCAATTTGTGCATTTACATCAGTTGCAATATTGCCACTCTCCATATTTATTATCGATCCTGCACTGGGTAAACTAATATCAGAAATAATTTTAATCTTTGACTCCTTTTTATCTTTCGTAGAATTATCCTCTACTTCAGTGGCATCTTGAGATTCGGAAAATTCTTCATCTGAGTAATCAATTATACCATCTTCGAGTGCTTGTTTTTTATGATAAGTTTTCATGTGGTTATACAATTGCATTTCACGAGCAAATATTTTATTACAATAAATACATTGTTGCTTGTTTTCATCTGGATGGGCATCAATCATATGTTGGTTAAGGGCATTTGTATCTAAAAATGAGTCTGAGCACAACAAACACTGTGGGAAAGTGAATGACGTAGTCTTCACCTTGTGCTCTACTTCCATATGAAAATGAAGTTCACGTTTACCGCTTGAGCGCCAGCCACAATGTTCACATAGAGCGGGATCAATTTGTTCTTTGTGTGTATTTATCAAATGACGACGGAAGCCTCGATACGATGGAATACTTATTGGACGACCATTAACGCCGCACCGTAGGCACAACCAAGGGCCAGTTGTGTTTTCTGCACCCAATGCAATCAACGCATGCATTGTTTTGCTATCAATTCGACGTTTTTGTGCTGGTGGCGCAGGCGTGGCAGTTCCAACTCCGACTGTAATAGGTCCTGTTGGTGCAGATTGCTTTTGTTGAGCTGGGGTTACCTTCGGTGCGGTTGGTTGCTGAACATTGACCTGCTGTTTTTCCATTGGCTTCAATAATGTTTGAGATGATGTTGGTGCTCGTAGAACTGATTGAGATTGAGACGAAGATGTTTGCTGTTGCGCGTCGTTTGTAGTATTATCCACTTGTTCCTTCTTTACAATGATTTTCTGAGGCTGGTCACCGGTACTAGGCATTATTTTTAATTTTATATTTTTATTACTCTTCACTAAATGCGGATATTGCCGAAGTACTTCTTTAATTATTTTCGCATGGTTCATTTTAGAATTAGAACTGTCTTTAACCACAATTGTAGGAGGCTTCTCATTCTGGTTGATCGTTATTGTAGTTCCCCCATGTTGTAAATGTGTTTGTCGTGATGTGGATGGTTGGTTGGTTGCAGACGTGCCAGTTGCTGATGTGGTAGCCAAATCATCGTCATCATCATCATTGTGAATGTCATCCTCCATCATGCTGCTCTCATACTCGCCTTGATCGTCACCATATTCTGCAGCAATTTGTTTTCTCATTCGTTGTTGTTCAGCAAATTCTTTTACATCTTCAATATTAAGCTTTTTTGTTGGAGGTGATATTAAAGTGCTGCTAGCTGGTCTTTTGTTATTATTGTAACCTTTACGTAATTGTTCAAATGGCGATGTGGCGGATGGTTCTTCTGGCTCCAGTTTAATAGTGGTTTGATGAGTTTCTTGTATAGTTTGATTGCCGTATTGTGATCGGCTTTGAATATTGCCACTATTATTGCCACTTGTTGTTTTTATTAGAGAAGTAGATCCTATCTGTTGTCGATATTGACCCTGTTGCGATGTAGAAGCTGCATTGGTGCTAATGGTTTTTGTTTGAGTGATACGACGCTGGCCTCCGGATAGATTATTGGGCGACGTTAATATTCTTCTTTGCTGGAAAGCAGATTGCTGCGCAGGTATATTTGCAGCTGTTGGAACGCGTCGACGTAAGGGCTTTGGACTAGGGGGCTTTAAGTTTAGGTATAAGGAAAAATATAAACCCAAATTATTACATATTTTATACACATACCTAGAAATTTATTATATATATACTCACACGTTGCATTCGGTTTACCCCTTCCATTGTACGGCGGTGTGCTTCCAGTAATTTCAACAAAACCGTCATATTCATATCTTTAGCTGTTCGCAAAAGCTTTCCATACATTTTCAGTTCGAATTCTAATGTACCGGTATACATGAAATTAACAATAGGCACAACCACATCGGCTTGGAGTTCATTGGGCATGATGAGTGCATCATCCACCATTTCACATGTCTGCTCTAGTACATTGAAATAATCTGTACAAGCGCTTAACACTAAGCGGTGTACCTTAAGTTGTGAGTTATCCCGAAACTGAAGGGTGAGGTCACAATAATCGGTCTTATTGAAGAAATTTTGTAACTTCTGAAGGAAGAAGACTCCCCAGTTGTCCACTTTTACAGACTTGATTTCACCCATTTTATTGGTGAAAAGTTAGAGATCAGCAAGAAATTAGATAAATCTGCAAAACGAAAATTTAATTCTTTCAGGACACGATACAAATCAAATAAAAGAAGGTTTCTCTTATCTCAGGATATATAATTTTAAGAATAGGCGCAAAGTTCTACAAAAGCACAAAATTCGTTAAAACCGCCTTGCATCCCCTACTGCGTGGCTCGCACATTCCCACATTTCTCAACCAAATAAGCATACTTATAAAATGTACGAGAAACTGTACTGCAATATAGGACCTTATATGTATATTATTGGCGGAAGAAAAGTTATTTCAACAAAATGGATATCGAGCAGCTTACTCCACAATGATTAAAGTTATCTGAACGCCAATATAGAAAAAAAAACAAATCTAACCAAAACTAACATTTTACAATTTGCACTTTCTTACTTGTATCACTTCCACTATTTTTTGCTATCTTGCTAATATTATGTTTATGCCTGCAAAACTTAACGATTTGGCGTTACAAAACGTCAAAATTCGAATGCAAAAATGTTTACAACATTTATTTTTGTAGCAAATTTATTTTAATCTGCTTTTACTATCTGCTAAACCGCTGCTGCTCTGAAAATGAATCCTACGAATACGTAAAGAAAACGAAAAAATTACTCGTCGTTAATGTCTTCCGAAAACATGAACCAATATGGCGACTTGACGTAGAATGAACGAAACGCCATTTTACGCCATCTTTAAGGTATGTGTATCGGATAAGATACCATTCACATTTTCTGCAACCAAAGCCAAAGACGAAATAACAATTAGCGGAGCATTTTTGCGGTTGCAACAACCACGAACAACTTAAGTAAATAATAATCAGATACCTTAAATATTTAGTGCATATTAATATACTCGTAATTTTCACAAAAAAGCTCAATGAAATTTCGACAATTAAAAATAATAGCTGATGGTTATTTTCTTTTGTTGTACCAAAAAACGTATTAATATACATTCTTTGATTTAGATTTTGTAATTGGATTTCGTGATTGTGACTAAATACGTATTCAACAGGTCTGGTAACATGGCTATAAGAAAGGGGAAAAATAAAAACATTTATTTTGTTATAAGTCTGAGCTTACACGACGATAAATTTTGTCACTTGATATTGTAATATCCCTTCACGTTCACAATTTTTCGTTTGCTTCACGCTTTTCAATATTCCTGAAATAAAAATGATACGTGTGTGTAAAGGAGGACTCAGCTTTTATTTATCTATTTCTTTTATATATTTTTACATTCGATTAAACATCATCTACCCTCTCCAAAGTGTAATCTGATTACATATCTCATCCCTTTCCCTATCATAGCAGTCAATCTCAGCGGCTTTTTCAATACTCTTTTAAATTAATTAAAGTTTATCTGCACACTCTATTATATGAAGTATTTATTGATAATTGGATACATATACATATAGGCATATATGTTTGCATGCACCTACATATACACGTATGTAAATATTGTAATGAAAACCAAATTTCAATATCTAAGTTTACAGCATTTAATCGTTTGAAATTTGAGGTAGCTACAACCAGTTCAAAGTAAAAAACAAAATAAAAGGGAATGTATAAATCTATAGAGAATCTATAGAAACACAAAATGTGTTGAATGAGCGCAGCGATATCGTGCGTTGGCCTCTTCGACGTCACTCTTTCCCCTACAAACGAGTGTTTCGTCGACAAAAGTATCGCCGTGTAAACTCTGACTAACAGAGAACTCTGGTCACATTGGTGTTTTCCTTGTTATAGGGAAATGAAACAGCATAGGACTTCTTTTATCCAGACAATTATTGCGTCCTTCTTCGCATAGTTACATAAAAATATTTATCCCTTATCATTTACGTACTTACCTTCTCCACTTGTTCATATCGGGTCATATAAGCACCATCTTAACGATTTAATTACACATTTCACTACATATAACAAATATTTTATTTTTAAATATTTGTTTTTATGTTTTGTAAATTTTTTCTTAAACATACCAAACTTCTTAGTTAAACCAATGTTTATTTATTATAATTTTTCGTTAAATAAGTACTTATGTGTTTTTTGTGACATTGCTTTGTTAAGGTTATAAATATTTATGTATGCAATTTTAACAAGCGCTAATATAAATTTGCTACAATAATAATATTGATATTTCTAATACCATTAAGTATATGTACATACGTGTACATAGGTAGGTGTATGTTTTTTGTACTAGTTGAACATTATTTGTTCTCTGTCCCAATACGATGCTATTTTGTATGTGTTCATATGTATGCACATACATATGTATTTATTTAAAATGAATAGCAAATTATTCATCATATTAAGTGTGTAATTGTATTTACTGCTATTGGTGCTTTAAGTTTTATTGAATTCTTCAAACATCATTATGTTTAAGCGCCATTTATTTGCAAAGCTCTGGCATAATAAAATATATGTATTTTTAATTAAATTGCACAACATGTGACTACATCATGTGTAAACATTTGGATTTATGTTATTTAAGCATTTAACGTTTTAAACACTAAATAAATCTTTTAGCACTTTAATACCTTCTTTTCAAAAAACATCATTTAAAGCAGGATAACGCCTGCGGGTGCAGATAGTATTTTACATATTTCAGAAAATCATATTTTACAATTGCGCCTCTTTATAGTGTACTTATCGTGCTACTTTTTTAACTTATTGCTGGGGAAAATAATAAGAGCTGCAGAGCTGAACATGAAGAGTGTACAGCTGCTGGCGTACATCGATGATATTGACAACTGCGCCATGAGCTCCGTCACTTTTGACAGTAATAACTTTGAAGTCGTAGATAATTTCATCTATCTTGGAACCAGCATCAACACCAATAATAATGTCAACCTTGAAATCCAGCGCAGAATCGATCTTGCCAAAGGGTGCTAGTTTGGACTGAGTAGGCAATTGAAAAGTAAAATCCTCTCCCGACGAACGAAAATCAAACTCTACAAGTTCCTCATGGTTTCTGTCCTGCTTAAACAAATGGCGCAATGTTGTTAATTCGGCTATAATCGCGTAAGCAGTGTCTACGTCAGTAAAGTGTATACTATCTTACTTTTCATAATCAACTTTAGTATTATATATGTATGAAAGTTTCGAAAGGGAGTGAACTAAGTGGAAGATGCTTATGACAATTCAGTAAAAATTTGCCAGAAAGTTTGAAAACAGCTGTTTGTGCTTCATAGGCGTCAAACCATAGAGATACCAATGTGTTTTCTCTGAGAGTGTTCAGAAGGGACGAAGCTTTATGTGAATCTTGAATTTCAACATTTTCTCACTTAGATTTTTAAGACGGATAATTGAAATACGGAAATGAGTTTGGAAGTTTTTTCGCGTAGGCTCGCCGTTAATTAAATTATGTATAACTGGCGCTTTGTAGCCGCTGAAGCGATTTTTCGATCGATCTCCGAATGGTGGCATCATTCATATTAAAGTATTAATATTATTTTAATTATTGTTTTGTGGACAAAAATGCCACCATATGAACATAAGTCAGCTATATGAAAGAAGTATGAAAATACTTGCTAGTTTTTACCGGCTGAAATTTTCCCAGCACGCACTTGCAACTTTCCCTCGCAACTAAACATCAAAATTACGCCCTCTCGCTACTAATTTTATGGGCTTTTGCCACATCGAACACGATTGAGTAAGATTCAGTAACAGGTCATCGAACAGAGCGACGATTCTCTATTCTATTCAAGGAGAATTACTGCAGGGGACCGCAATGACGAATATTGGCGTACCCAAATATCAAGCATATGCTATATATAGAGGCAAAACAGCATCAAAATTAAAACAAAAAGTAATCGGTTGCCTTAGGAAATTCATTTCTATGAATACTTATATAGATATGAGCCGCTCAGTGCATACATCGTTTAACTCCACTTTTTAGTGTCAGAGCCTTTGGCATAGTCATAACTTTTTATGTTTATAATAACTTTACTGAATAATAAAGATTAGCACCGTTAAATTGCAAATTTTTTTGGCCATTGAATAGTGAATAAGCTATTTCGATTATCTCCATAACCTATTGTAAATTGTTTCAGTGACACTGACGACTATATTAAATTCAAAATTATTTAACTGACGTGTTGTTTACATTTCATTATTTGTTTTGCTAACATTCTTGAAGTCTAGCAGAGGATAGAAATTCTCCTTGACGTATATAATAAATATAATATCTGTTTTTTTTTAAACTAGTTTATGACAAAATAAAGTTAATAAGATTTTGTACTACGAAGTTATCCAAGTTTACCTAACTTAACGTCATAAATTTTTTTATCGTGTTCCCTTCATTCACCATATGAAGGTAAAAAAGATAAGCAAATTGAGTAAATACAAGAGTTCTTCAGCATGGTGATTAAATAAAAATTAGGATTTTATTACTTATTTGTCTTTTCGTAAAATTTCTATAATGACGTCAGGTGAGCCTGGCACATTTAATACGTTTAATGGCGTTTAATGACGAAGTTGGTTTAATTTAATGGGTTGCCAAAGCCTTAAAAATAATGATACAAGGTATCATACTTTCACACAAATTTTTCCTCGTAAATATTAACTATCTGACAAAAATTGTTTTGAATTCTGCTTTATGTATGTAAAAAATAAATGTTTAACTTTCTACAATTAAAAGACTATTTTATAAAAATCAAGAAATTTCAGTGTAAACACACATCTTCAAAAATATTTAAATAATGCCAAAACCGTTAAAAGTTATCAAAACTTTACATGAACGCTTATTATTTATAAAAATTTAAGACCGAAACAGATTTTTGCATATTTTCATTATCAGATTAGTTCGGTGACGTCAAGGGTTGTCGTAACCTTCTATTCTGTAAATTGTCTGTAAACTTTGTGCACGTTTCATAAATCACATACTTTGGTTGTGTTTAATTTATAATTCTTTCACGTATGTATAGTAATATGTATGTATAGAAAAAATATTGGCTCGCTTAAAATGTACTGACTTTTGTTAATATTGGGAGGCAAAATAGCTTTATCTTTGTTTTATAAATACGTATATGGTTTTCTTTTAGAAAAAATATATCTTTCTGGGATATGTTTGGTTGTTTTTCGTTGTAGGTGGGCTTGATTTTTCGTTTGAGTACAAGAAAGAAACACATTAATTTACATGTATTTTTTTAATTTTTTTTTTAATTTTTTAATATTAATTGGCTTATACTCATGAATGAAGGGTATATGCAACAGCTACTGTGCATAGAATTTGAAAATTTTTCATTAAGTGTTATAGGCTTGTAAGGTGATTTAACTATAATATGAGTGAGCTGGTCAAAAGCATTATGCAAATTATTATTATTTTTCCAACTTTATGTGCTAAAATGATCTACGTTATACATACACGTAATTTTAATAATGTAACAAAACACGCCTACAATTTTGTATATGTCTGATTTAAATCTTGTTCAATTCAACAAATATACATAGCTATTTTTTGGCGTCTTATACTGAATATTCATACTCTTAGGTAAACATGTATGTATGTATTTTCTTTTGAAAATATCAAGCTTAAGAGTATTTTGAACTATATGATTTGTGTTTATTAGTTACACATTGCAAGTACATTTTTTTTTCAATACATTGATCTTATAAATTTCCAATAATTTTTCTTAACCAAAAGATTTACTTTTTCGGTGATTCGTTGTTAATAATACTCAAACGGCGTATATTCGGCTTGTCATAGTCTTCCATAGAGACTCCTCGTGAAAGTTTTCGCGAACCATTTTGACCATCCACAGAACCGCCCGAACTGGTAGAGTAAGCTCGTCCACGATCAACTCCAGGCATTACAACCGACGTTAAAATGCCTTGGCCTTTGCAGAACAGTAGAATAGATTGAGCCACTTTGGCGGGCTAAAAAAGGAGGAAATTTAATAATTTTACATCATTTTTTTTTCATAGGCCAAAAGTGCATCTGTTTAAAATTTTTCATTAAAAGTATTATTTTCAAATATTCAATTATTCCCAAAATTTGTTTGACCAAACCATATTCCACGAAGAAGAAATAAACTACCTTCAAAATTAATATTTTTCCAAGATGGTGTCACAAAAATCGAAGATCACCGCTTAGAAAACCAACATGGTCTCGTTTAATATGGAATGGCTATATGTACAAATGCGGCGTGTTTAGAGAGCATCTGGAATTTTAATTTTTTTAATTATACGTGTATTTATTCGTCAACATTAATGTTATCGCCTTCAAATCAGTCTCCATTAAATATTGCGATGAAGCTTCTCAAACGTCTCATTCAGAGAGGTACTTCTAATGTCACCGGCGGCTGCAAAACTACAGTCCTTTAAGGGTTTCTTTATTTTTGGAATAGTCTCAGCGTGTCGTGGGATGCTGTGAAATAATTACAATTTGCTGCACGAAAATGATGTTGACCTTGTGTGTGTAGTTCTGCTTATTGGCCTGGTGACAGGATTTCATGGAGCACTATTCCATCAAAATCGAAGAACATAGCGAGTATAATACTCACATTCGACCGTCCACACAACACTGTATGATTCATTCCCAAAACTTTGGCAAAGATGTTATAACAAGATTTAATCGATATGTTACATTATCATGATTGTTGTTGTTCTACCGCGGTAACTATTGGATTTCAGCCGTCGTTTAACAAGATTTAATCGATATGTTACATTATCATGATTGTTGTTGTTCTACCGCGGTAACTATTGGATTTCAGCCGTCGTTTATGACGGTCATGCTTACCCGCGGGCGAAATCAACATTCGGTGCTTGTTCATAACTAAATCTTTTACATTTTAATCTGCTGTGGATGTGTTCGTTACCTTCAACGTCGTTACGGACTTCTTGCAAACTCTTGCTTTATTCCTAACAGACAACCCAGTGGCCTTGCTAACACTTCACACTCTTTGTCAAACTTTTTTTTTATAAAAATATTTTTTGCACGTAAAATTTAATATAACTTCTTTGCTCTATTTTTTTTTTTAACAATTGAAAATTGTTGTTAATGTATGTCACACACAAAGTCAACAATGAAAACAGTTGAGAGTTTTATCATACATCATGAGAAGAAAAAATGGTTTGAAAAGCGAACTGCAAGCGCACGGAATACATTTTTTTTTGTAATATTTTTCGAGTACTCGTATGCCTCGTATGTGCGTGCTATAAACCCTTTCCTAGTTATTAAGTTAATATTGTTTTTTTTTTGTACATAAATAAATATGTAAATATATTGACTCACCGCATCAGCCAAGACATCACCTGCACGTTCAATTTTTAAAATGGTCACCTTTTCCTTTTCAACATCTTTGTGCAACTGAAAATGAAATGATGGAGTAATTTTGACATTTCAATGATTTTACAATTAAACTCTGCTTCTATTCACCTTCTCTACCATTGATGCATATGGACTCAACATGCCCGTAATTAAGATGACATCCACCTTGCATCCCTTCAATGTAAGATCCTTTCGGCTGGGTTTTGTTTTGTATTTGATTATAAATTTATTTTGAAAATAGAAAAGTAACAGAAAGACTGATAAGTAAATTCCTCTAGTGAAGGTTACTTTTACTATTACTGAATGCTAAATTTGCTTACCTCATAAAGGCCTTTACGTACAGTCCCACATTTTTACTATTCAAGGTGCTGTGCAAACGTTTTTGATATTCGGCGACAATTTTTTCCTTATCCGGATTATCACCAACCAATTGCTGCATTTTTGTACAATTTTCGGTAGAAGTTTTTAGCGATATTATTATGTTTATTTGAGATGTATGGTAATATACGAGTATGTATAATGTAATGTATAAAGGCAGTGTTATGAAGAAATCGAAAAACCAGCGATTGAGCGATGGGAGGAAGGATAGGTGATAGATGATGTAAAAATGGAGTTACAAATGTAATTTTTTAAATAGTTTCAAAATATTTATGTAAATACATACATTCATATATATATATATATATATTTATATCTATTTATAAGCAGGTATTAGCTCTGTTCGGTGAGAAATGTCAGTAGGAATTAGACAGTATCGAAATTAAGAGTGTTTGGAAGTCTTACTCTTCCGAATAGAGGAAGTTCTCAAATCACTTGCAATGTTTACTAATCAAAAACATACATACTGTGCCACACTCTTGGTATTTAGCATTTACGGCCAAAATCTTGAGGTAAGGAACTTTAATAGAATGGTATCCATGGTGGCTGACATAGAGCTTTTCATCACTTCTGAAGCGTTTGGTTGACATATGATAATTGGGGTGGTGTGGAAATGCCGTATTTGATAACAAGTTGTTTACGTTTGAAGTTGTTTACGTTTGAAGTTGTTTACGTTTGAAGTTGTTTACGTTTGAAGTTGTTTACGTTTGAAGCCGTTCGTTTATCCTGTTTATTATTTTCAAAAATATTTTAGTAAAATTTTATCAGTTTTATGCATTTTTAATTTATTAATAGTATTAAAAAATTATTGTTATGCAACAAACTGAAATTCTACATGCTTTATAGACGTAAAACTGTAAAGATACTAATGCTCTTTCTGATAATCTTCTGAAAGGACGAAGATTTATGTAAAACTTGCTCTCCAGCTATTTGCCGCTTAAATTTTTAGGAAGGATGATTGAATTAGAGAAAACTTTTGTGTAAATGAAGGTCATAGCAGAACTTCGATTCTTGATAAAAAACTCAAGCAAATTATAAGTAGATTTATTTTTCCTTTGAAAGTAACTAAGTATTCTTTTTGTGCATAAACGTTTAATAGGGCAAAAGTGCTCAGAAAGCAGGGATTTGCTTATTTGCTGCTAAAATTTTATATACACGTATGATGATGTTTCCGAAAATCACGTAACAGTGGAAAATTCAGTGTTTTATATGCGTAACTTCAAATATAAATGAAAATCATAGAAATCGCAAGACTATGTATATTACTTTGTCATTCTATAACCGAATTTTCGGATATGAAGTTTTATGTTGAAATCGTCAAAGAAAAAAAATGTATAGAAATCTCGGAATGGTCAAAGATAACACTTCTTATGGGTTTTCTTTTTTTAAATATAAAATTTAGCACAAAATTGGTCATTTTCGAATGGTCATATCTTAGAAAATTGTTTAGAAGATTTTATCACGGTAAGGCTTTTCTGAATACTATAATAAACATACATGTAGGTGAATAAGAAAATATTAGCAAAAAATTTTGTGCTTCCTACTTCATCTTATCTCTAATATGCGTGTTTTGAGCACTTTTTTCCCATTGTACGTCGTCGCTTCCTGAACCTTCAGTAAAAATTAGTAACAATTGTTGTTGTCGTCAGCTCACCGAACAGGACTATTGTAAATAATACGTACTCTTCAGTTGCGAAATTCAGATATTAAGTGCTTCTAACGATAAAAATTAATATTTAGAGATTTCGTTAATATCAAGCAGTTACATTTACTTTTAACTTTTAAAATATGACTATTTATATAAAATTATCAGGTGTACAACTTTGCTTCCGCCGTTTTTTTCCAAAATTAAAAGCTTTATGGCGAAAAAGTGCTTACAGATATATTATTCAAAGTATTGTCCTTCGTTAGCGACAACTTTCTCCCATCTTTCCGGCAATTTTCGGATCCCGGCTCGAAAAAAGGAGTCCTCTTTTGACGCTATCCATGAAGCAATCCATTTTTCCATTTTTTCTAAGGATTGAAAATGTTGATCTGCCAGGCCGTGTGCCATCGAATGGAATAGGTGGAAGTCAGAAGCGGCGACAACTGGGGAATACGGTGGGTGGAGCAAGACTTCCAATTTCAGCGTTTCCAGGTACTTTATGATCACTTTTGCGACGTGAGGCCGAGCATTGTCGTGTTGGAGCTAGTAAATTTTTGAAGTTTTTTTCTCTTCCACCACCATGTTTGTCTTCGACATCGAAATCACCATTTTTACAACGTTGGAACCACTCCCGACATGTTCTTTCACTCTGAGAGCATTCGATGCGCTTCAGCTGCATTTTTTTTTCGAATTGTAACAGAAAAGTAAAACTTCCCGCAAATGGCGAGAACTTGGCACATAAACGGACATTTTCGAGCGTAAATAATACGAAAACAAGAACAACTGTCACTGAAACGGTGATGACAATTCATTAGGCACTGTCCACACTCACTTTAAAGGCATTGTGATCTATGTATTTCAACCAGCCTCAGCCGGTACAGCCACCTATCGGAAAACGGCGGAAGCAAAGTTGTACACCTGATATTTGCTAATCTGGTGCAATATGAACTTATTTAACTTATTTTCATACGAGTTTGGTTAGCTGCAGCAAGAAAAATAGATGTATCATTGTCTCTGATATTAAATGGCTAATGTCATGAACATTTTTAAACTCAGATAGTAAGTGATACACATTTGTATAAAAATTAAAAGCTGTTTACCAGAATTTAGTTTACCTTTACTTGTGTGTGTATAACAAAAATTAAAACAATCCAAATAATTAAGGTTTAGAGTGCAAAAACTTAAACAAATTGTGAAAAAGTGAATATGGATATAATTTTTGGTTTATAACTACATAAGGTTTATATGCACATAATGTAAATGAAAAGGAAAACAAATATCTACATAAGCAGCTTTAGGTTAAGAGCGGTAGTGTCTAAGAAATATCTAATGAAGCTTTCTTAAAACGTAGTTCTTTTTGTCAATTCGTAGAAGATTCCTGTGGCAAGAGCCATTATTTCAGTCAATTACCTGGAACTAAAGCAAAATTATAATATAATAAAAAAGTTACAATTTCAAAGATGACATTATGAGGTGTCAAGCTCAAGGATTTTAACAAAAGGATGGTATAGTTTAAACGTTTAGCGTAAAGCAAGATGTGAGATGAGTACATTTAAATAATTTCTGTGCAAAGATATCTAACACTGGCATTCCCTCCGAGTGTATTTATGGCCGTTCGGAGGCGGCTTAGTATAAGCCTCCATTTGTTGGAAAAAGATCAAGACTCAAAACCACAAATTGGACGAGGAGCTCGGCCGAAAATCGCTTCAGGGGTTACAAAGCGCCAAAGTTATATATAATCGAATCAGATTATCCAACGAATTTGGTGCTCTGTACTTCCTTTTATGGGACATAATAGTTAACGGATGAAGTTAACTTTTAAGAGATTTTTACATCATGAAGCATATATGATAATCACATCTTCTTCTTCTTTATTGACGTGGGCACCCCTTACGCGATTATACCCGACTCAACAATAGGGGAACCAGGTCGCTTTTTACTTGATCCTTCCAACGTTGTGAAGGTCTTCCTCTTCCTCTGCGCTTTCATCCATTTAGACAACAAGACCTAGCCAGAGTAACCGTTGTGTCTTCATCGATGTCATTGTTCCATCGTCTGCGGTATTCGTCGTAGACAATGCGCAAAGACTATAAATCGTTCGTTTCTCTCGAATACTCCTGAGGCCGACTTATCGGATGTGGTTAGTATCCAAGCATCGGCACCATGCAGCAGGACGGGTATAACGCGTGACTTAGAAAGTTTGGTTTTGATTTGTCGAGAGACGAAAATAACTACTGTTGGCAAGGGTGGTTCTACGTTGGATTTCAAGCTATCTACCATCTCGAAGTTATGTCTGTCAAAAGTAACGTGGAAGCCTATCGGTAAGTGTGCCGACTGTTGCTCTTTAAGCGGGCAATCGCTTTTTTGACCTCGGGTAATGGGATTTTGTATTCTCTGATAATGCTCTGGTCTTGAAACAATCTGGAAGTCGCCGCGTCCTTTCATAGAATTTTCAAGCTTTACCCTTGGCCAACTTTTCAAGTACTTCATGCTTACGCAGTTCAGCTTCTTTCTCGGTATTTATTCCACACAGCAAGTGTTGTGGGAGAGACACACCGTTTCACAGTTCTCTTATATCGAGTTGCTGATGAGTGCTATCAATGTGCAGGTGTGCAAGTCGAGTAGAAAACAGTTCGGCTGTTTGTTGTGATTTCAACCTTTCGTCTTCGAACCTTTTAGTTTTTTGATGACCGTTCTTTGATACGCAAAGGCTGGTGAGTATTTTCGTTGCTACAATATAGTGATCCAAGTCGACGTTAAGTGCCCGGAACAAACGCTCATATAGAACACTGGAGACAAATCCTCTGCTAATCACAACATGATCGATTTGATGGCGCGATTGTGATTTCGATCCGGTTAGAGCCATGTAACTTGATGGATTTTTTTGTTGTGCGGGAATTATGTACCACAGACAACAATATTTCTGCCCAAAGCGAAGACGATCAGCCTCAGGCCGTTTGGGGACATTTCGTCATGGAAGCTGAATTTCCAAATTGTGCCAAAAAATACTCTTTGCCCACCTTAGCGTTAAAGCTCATAGGCGCGTTCGAGGTGCTCATAGCAAGCGTCCTTGGTCCCATATCTTTCGCTTCCATCGCACACCTGCATTAGCGAAAATTTTCTTTCAATCAAAAATGATTATTTCATCATGGCTCTATAGCGTTCCTCATTCACTGCAACTGCAAACTGCCGGCTTCATTTTTGAAGAAATATGAAACAATGATACCCTCTGCCCATAGAGTGCGGCAAATCGTGAGTTTTGGAAGATGTAACGGCGTTTTAATTATGGCTTGGGGATTATCATCACATCAAGTGCGATAATTTTGTTTATTAAGGAGCCCAGTTAACCAAAAGTGAGTTTTATCGTTAAATTTACTTGTAAAAGTCGATCGCATTTTAGGCTCATTCACCGAACGTGTGACGCTCTGGATGGTCGTTGAGCATGAGTTCGTTTTTTGAGCCCGCAAACCAAGATTCTTCCTCAAAATCTTCCATAAAGTAGCTGGGCATTAGACCAATTGCTACGGACGATGGTGAATGTTCTCATTTGGGTCTTCTACGGTGCTCTGTTCCGTCCTTCCGTGCGTAGCGTATAACGGTCCATATTTGATCGAATTAGTGATTTAAATGGGCAAATATTTCGTCCGAATATGCATGCAGCAATTCATTATGAATGAGCAAACCGTAGAGACAAGGAATGTCTGCCGAAAAGACCAACTCCAAAAAAGTTTAAGATGATTTGAAGCTAGCGACCTGCCATTGATTGTGTATATTTTTTTTTTGCTTAGCAACTCTGTATTCTATGCATATTTGTTTAACTGTATAATAAACACATAAAGCGACACTAATTTATGAAGGAGAATGTAAGAGCTTTAAAAAATATGTAGAAAATCATGAAATTCAAAATTATAACGATTTAAAACTCTAAAATTGCAAATCCTTATATAATTGTGTGTCAATTTCATATGTCTGTATGTCTTATTACCAGTCTAAATGGACAATAAATTGAAACTACTACTGAAATTAATGGTAAAAATAATAAAATGGGTTAAAGGTAATCATTGTTGATCGGCGATTTGAAAGTTTTAAAGCATGAATTTTTATATGTACGAGTTTAGGAATATAGCGTGAAAGCTCCAAAAAATTTTGATGTGCTCTTGGATAAAGTTAATTAGTAATTTTATTTTTGAAAGTTTAGTTATACCTCCATAACCTGTTGATGTCAAGTAGTTTGTGACATAGAAAAAAGAGTTTAAAACGCCGCATGATTATAACAATAAAATATAGTATTGGTCATTACATATTTTGAAATTCATTACGGTGATCGTATATTGAAAGACATTATATTTATGTTTCGGTAAAGGAAAGAAAAAGAGTTAGAAAAACTTTAATTTATAAATATACCGAAATAATATTTTCATGTAGATAAAAAAGTACACACATTTCAGCCACACTAATTTGTTCGGAATTTGGAATTTTTTTTCATTTTGTTGTAATCACATATATCCCCCAATAAAATTTTGCAACAATTGTGGATTATAATGTGCCGCAAACATTCAAACTAAATTGTGCAAATGCAATTATACATAAATTAAATTTGCACACGCATATCAGAAAACACACATAGCTATACAATTAATTACATTTACAAAATCGCATAGCATACTTACATGTCCAAATTTATGGTACATTAAAAAACTTTCTGCCGATTGTGCAATATCATCGTTTTTCCATTGAATTAACTAAAAAAAAAAAGTTGCAAAGTCATTTACCAAAAAATGTATCTGTGTCGTTCGAAGGGATTGCTTTCATGTTTTTTTGTAAAGGACGTACCTTAGTTTTGAATGATTGTAAAACGCTGGCAGCACTGCCGGTGGCATTGATCAATACTAAACCGAGTACTCGGGAAGGATGGGCCAAACCGAAACGAGCCAAAACATTAGCGCCAGCACCTTCACCCAGGCCAATTACATATTTGACATGAAGAAAATCCAAAACAGTGATAAGATCTTCACCCAGTGTTTGTAAAGATGGAAATTGGAAGCTGTAAAAATTATATTCATTTAATATTTATTTATTTTAATATTTATTTTTCCTGCTATATGCATATGTAAAACAAGGCTGTTCGTAACGATAAATTTCATGTTATTCAAAAAATTTCAATCGCTTTGGTTGAAACATATGGAAATGTTGTCATTAAGGCAGTGAACAAAATAAATCTTATTTCTTTTTACCCGAAAAGAAATGTAATAGTTAATAGATCTGTTCGGTAACTTGGCCGGCTTTTGGTGAGCCAAAAAGCTGGTAAAAACTTGCCAGTATGAAAAACAACTGATTTGTGACCATATGGTTGAACTTTCGAAAATAAACCAAAATTGATGAAAAGTGAAAATATACATTAAATAGTTACGGTATTCCTTAAACGAAAATCCTCCGCTCACCACACAGCTCATATTGAGGAGGTGTAAGTTAGGAATATTGAAGGCATAGAATTAAATTATATTCCTATTTTTTGTACAAGCTTATTTTGAATTCCTCTAATTTATTAGAAATTAGTGACAACCAAACGAGCTTGCAGTGAAGCAAAGTTGTTGCTACGGTTACAGTGACGATAATGCATTCTTACACTTCCAAAAGCGACGTCGTTGCTCCAAATGAAATGTAAACAAAGTAAATTTCTTTTCTGGGATAGTATAGCATCTCACTCTCTCAATGTGTTATTGGCTAATTCCAACTGACTTTTCTCACCGAACAGAGCTAATGTTAAACGTTGAAATTGAAGCGCGCTGCAGCCAATTTAAAATTACCGTTAACGTCGAGTTTGTGCAGTTTCAATGTTAGCAATTTCATTTCGTTTCGATAACATGGTGCCGAAACGAAACTAAATCATTTCGTTCAGTTTAGTTTTCATATTATAATAAAAAACGAAATGATATCGTTTCGTGAATTTAGCATTTCCGATGTACATCATATAGCTAGGTTATACAAAGAATTTACCTGTCAGGTAAGGGCTCAGCATTATCAGCATGACCGGGTACATCGATGTGTATGAAGCAAGAACGTTCCTTAATTTCCGTCATGCACGGACTGTTGACAAATTCCTGGAATGAATTGTCTGCAGAAGAAAAAGTATTAATCACTGGAAATTCATATTTAAAGTTAACAAAACACTTGATGGGGCCATGTGTAGAAGTTCACTTAAGTAAGGAAAGACTGAGACTGAGACTGAGATTGTATATATGTAAACGATTCTTTTGCATATGGTTCAAGCAGTTAAAGGCTTCCGGTTTTAGACCAAATATCTTTTGGGTAGCCAACAATCATTTCGAGGCGAGCTAGAGAAGGGACCCACCCATAAAAAATATACATATGTATATATAATGGGCGCTTTACAACCGCTAAAGAGATTTTCGGCCGAGCTCCTCCTCCAATTTCTGTTATGCTTCTTGATAGTTATCCAATAAACGTAGGGACTACCACTGTTTATTCTAAGTCACTCGGATAGTGCGGCCGCCAAAACCTCCCTCTTTTAGTGACAAGCCCATCTAACGTTCTAGGAATCACATGACTTCGTATTTCCAACTGTCGCCAAACAACATGATTCGGCTATATTATGCGGTGCCTATGCCAAGCAATATGTAATAAGATGAAAAACTTATCGCTTTATAACACTAAAGGTTTTCCACTTTTTTGCTCTACTTTTTGCTTTTCATACTCTGGAGCCAATACACATTAATCATTTAGCATGAAAGTGTTTCGCACACATATTTATGAAGGACTAACTACCTGAAATACTGGCATGCTTGTACAATTATTGTTGGTGTTTTTTAATGCTGTCGTTGGGCCTTATTGTCTGTTAGCTTTTTTTATTTATTTTTTATTTGTTATTTTCATTTGTTCATTTATTACTTTGTGCATTTGACTGCTCACGTAAATGTGCTTAATTTGCGCCTTGTTGTTGCTGTGTCGTGACGAGTAAAAATCATAAATAAATTGTTATAACTTACGATTGCATCCCAGATCGTGGACCGTTATGAAGACTGCACGTTTCTCTTGCTGCGTCAAGTCGCCCTAAAGGGAAAGTTGTGTAGGGATATTATATATAATATACGAACATTTAAATTTAGTATAGTTAAAATATAGTAAGTTTAAATTATTTGTACCGTATAATTATGTTTAAGTTTAAATTCTGTAAGTGACTTTAAATTAATCTTTACATACCTGTACAGTTACTGTCAATTCGCCACTTTTGTCCGTATTAACAAGATATTTCTGTTAAAGGTAATAAATTTATATGAATTATTATTTAATGGTAAGTCCTTGATTCTTAAGTTAGGTAGGTTGGCATATATGTGTATGGGGAATTTGCTGAAAGCAGTGGACGTACTTAATTATATAGCGATTGTAAGGCATGAAATGACCAGCATGAGATTTGAGTTGATTTGATTTGATATTGCAATGTAAATGCTAAAACTGTGTAGTGGCTGCTGGGAAAGATACTGATTGCTAACTGGAATGCTACTTGTTTATATTTTTATCATTTTCCCATGTTAGTATGTAGTATTGTATTTTGAACACGACGATGATTTTAACGCAGTAGCCCAAAATCTCAAGTTCACGAAATGTAAAGTATATATAGGAAAAGAAATTATTAATGTAATCCTAGTATCTGCTTCATAAGTGGTGTTGTTCAACTTTACAAAACTTCTGTTAACGCAACTATGTCGTGCGATGTTTGAAGAATGCTGAAGTTCCGGAAAATTTGCACATTCAATAGAAGACGTATGTTTTCATCAAAAAAGCGATATTGAGTTCAATGACTAAATTGCATTCCCAACGTTTTTGGCTACAATTAATCATTACATATTTTTTAAATTGTCCATATATACATTGAATAGTGATTAGAATATCTCAGAGCACCAGATATGAACTTCGGTTCAGGCGAACATTTTCGTTAAAGAAGGCGTTGCAATCTACCTCCAAAAAAGACTGCGTTCGCTTGTGGAAATATAAAAGACTACATCGGTAAATTTTTTCCACTTTTATCCAGCATGAATGTAGTGGCACTCCAAGCCCCATCATTAAATTGTAATCAATTGCTTTCTGGTTGATGAATGTTGCGATCTTTCTTGCAAGTTGTTAGTGCCTATTTCAATTCATTTTATTATGAATGAAAAAAACGAACACTGACGGCTGTTTTTTAATTAAATTAAAATAAATGTTTTTTATAAAAAATTCGGTATTGTGCTAATGAACCTCACGCATACAGAGGAATACCCACTCTTTTCTGGAATGCGAAGTCTCATGTTACTGTTAGACTTTAAATATTATTTATATATTAATATTATTAAAATTTCTATCAGCTGTTCGCCTATTCCAAATGCTGTTGTCTGTCGTCTACAAATTTGGATCTGATTGAATTCGCAGCCGCTCGGGATTAACGCTGCCAGTTGCCTAGGTTAATACCTGTCATCCATTCCTACTAATAGACTTAAACTTTAGTTCATCTGTTACTATTCTTAAATTATACTAAAACTTTTAATAAGCAGATTAAATAAAAAAAGTTTTCAAAAGTTAATTTTTCTAATTGCGGTTGCCCCTTGGAAGGGAATATCAACCCCGGTTGTCTTTCTGACATGAAAGAAAAGCTCCTCATAGAAAACCATCAGCCGTTCGAAAGGAGAAGGAGGTCGGCCGAAATAGCTTCAGCGGTTACGAAGCGCCTATGAGTTTTTAATATTTTATAATACCTAAAATATTTAGTGTTTCTAATATATTTTTGTTTTCATTGTGCATTACTTCTCTTGTTACAAACGCTAATGGTGCCTTTTGTTTAACAAGCTCTCTATTTACTAATATGCACATTTGGGTGCACATTAGGTAAAGTCCTTGGCTTTTTTTTTATAAATCAAACGTTTTCAAAAGGCTAAGATGTATTGCTTCAAGTTCTGTACATGGAAATGTTATTGTCAATACTGTTATTGTTGTATATGTTAATGTGTGCATATTTAAAATGTCTGCTACATATAGTCATTCAATCACGGTACGAGTACATATGTGTACATGGATTAGGTTTTTAAGTGTGTAAATCATTGTCATTTTTATTTTTCCCACGATAAAATCTATGCAACTTAGCACATCAGTGCCCATATGGCTGCTTACTTATTACGAATTATTCCACGACAAGCATATTATGCTAATGTAAGTCCTTTATTTCCTCTGAGTAATTAACATATATACATTTCAATTTTGGTTGATGTTCACACATTCATGCAGCCATGAATAAATTTATAATTGTAAAAGAAATAAAATATACAAATATATATGCAAGTGATGATTTCTTTACTGGCGTAGATACTGCTTACGCGATTCTAAGCGGGTTTACAACACGCACGCAACAGCACGCCATTTAATCCTTCGAGGCGCTGTTTGGCGGCAGTTGAAAATACCAAGTACAGCCAGGTCGCATTGTAAATTTTCTAAGGCTGAGACCATGACCTAGCTAGCGAAGCTCATCGTTCAATCGGCGGTATTCGGCGTCCCCTACACAGATCATCGGAGCTTTTGGTGTTGCTTAACGTTAGTTCTCACAACCGTATAAGTTTTGTTGGTATACTCAATTCAAGCATAGCGCCGTAGAGCAGCTGTTTTTCATGGTGACGAAGTGTGCTTTGAAGCACAACGGATATATGGCAAATAGTGGATTTACCAGGTCTAAAGTAACACTCATAAAGTCCAGCCAGTATGGTGTCTGCAAACAGTTGACGCATGCACCTTGCCAATTCCACGCCGTTAATATTTGAATAACTCGCTGCTTTATTGTTTTTCAAGCGGGCAATTCTATTCGAAGTTCTTCATACTTGGTGTTCTATTTCCTGCAATTGAGGAGGCTGGAGAAGTGTTCTCGCACATGTGTCCTTCGCAAGGTTGCGATGTAGTAGTCCGTTTTTTTTCCACTGCCGTGTTTGAAATGGTTGGTCGCATAGTGCAGGAGGATAAGTCGGCACACAGAGGCAGATACGTAAAACACTATATGAGCTGGTTTTGAGTTTTCATGGGCGGGAGTCTATTACAACAGACAACCATATTTCGGACCCCGGCGATGTCGACCACCCATTTGTAGGGCACATCAGAGGCGGTGCAGCGCTTATAAGCACGCTCCAGGTGCTCATGAAAGGCATCTTTGGTAGCATCGTCCATTGTGATGACTGCTTCAGTGGAATAACTTAATTATATATAATCATGAAATTATTGTTTTAGTATTTTGGTAAAAGTGTGTAAATTGAAGATATCAAACATCAATTCATCTTTTCCTTGTTTTCTGATGCTCGTGACTTCATTTCGTTCATTTCCATGATGTTCTATTTGTGGTCAGCATTTTTGGTTTCCATTTACTTTTTTACTCAAAGTTACATTCCCGTTCGTTTTACCACTGCTCACTTGTATCAACTTTTATGTGAAGCCAAAAACGTGCTGGAGTGTGGAAGCCAAGCGAATGCAAAAGTACTTTGTACTTGCGCAAACAGGGATGCTCATGGCTACGTGTTGCGAAATTTTTCAAAGAAATACTGTAGCTGTTGTGTTACCATGAAGTGTGATAAATTCGTGTGACTATTTCGTTTGCAATTTTCAATGCTTACTAAGATGGCAGAAAAGGAAGTAAGCTATGGCATATCCATATGTACATTCATATACATTTTCAATACCACATGATTAGCGTGCAAAAGAAAAATTGAGTAATTCAAAAGAAAATTCCCAATATGTATGTTTATATATGTAGGTATTGTGAATTTATAAATAGTTACTGTACCTTTCGCTGATTTTAAATAGTTAAACACCACATTAAGTTATAGTTAAATATTTGAAAAAGTTTATCTTAAAGTATTTATTGTTAGGTATACCAGTGCGTATACACAACTTATGTAATTTTACAAAAACAAATTTTCTGTTTCAAAAAAAAAAGTTGAAAAATCCGTTTGCAGCTAAAGAGAGAAGGCGAATTCCCGTGCAGTTGTGCGTATGAAAAATTTACTCCAACGAAAAATTACACAAATTAGACTCCGCAAAGGTTTTAAGAATCAAAATTTGGGGGTATGCAGCTGGAATGTCCGGTCCCAAAGTTGGGAAGGTGCCAATGGGCAGCTGGTTGATATCCTGGTAAAGTAAAGGCTGACAGTGGCCATATAAAGGGTCACAAATATCATAAAACGCCCGTCAAAAAAACATCAGGAAAGTTCGACGTCAAAAAGCTGAGATCACAACAAACTGCCAAAACGACTTGTACTCCTGCTCTCTGAGAGCACACAAAGAACTTTGCAACAACATCTCAAATTTTCTACGTACCACCGCCACCGTGACATTGGCTTTCGGTGCAAGAAAAAGATGTGCAATGACGAACTAAAGTGAAAAGAAATTAGACTATCTATCTTGCTATCTGGCAATCGGCCACAGCACGTGCAGAGTGAGATAGATACCGAGAGCTGAAGAGGGAAGCACGTCGAATTTGTAGACGAAAAGAGAAAAAGGCCGAAATGCATGAGTATGAAGAGCTTGAAAAGCTCGCCGACCAGGGTAACGCTCGAAAACTCTAGAAAAAGATGCGGCGACTAACAGAAGGTCTAAAGAAATGTGAAAATCTGGTGACCATTGTCCAGAGCATACTTGGTGTATGAAGGAAACACAGCTCTAGCCTACTGAATTGCAGTGAAAATGCAACACCCGTAGATGGCGAATCCTAAACCCATATCGATGATGGGATGGAGGTGATGGCTCACCGGCTGAGCTATTTAAACATGGAGGTGGAGAGCTGACAAAGGACTTCTTCACAAAACGTAATCTTTTACAGATATTTACAAATTCTGGCATATCTAGATGACATTTATATCATCGTACTTAACAATTCTAATCCAGGCTTGACAAAGAAGGGTCTGGTAGTGAACGAGGACAAGACGAAATATCTTCTTCTTCGGCTTAGTAGCCACGTTACTGACGGTGTAACTTCGAGGATGTAGATACTTTCATCTAACTAAGGACCGGTATTGACACCAATAACAATGTACACTTGAAAAGTAAAGTCCTCTCTCGGCGAACTAAAACCAACCTCTATAAGTCACACAACATTCTTGTCCTATTAAATAGTGCAGAATTCCAGACGATACGACGAAGAGGAAGGCTTCCATAATGTTGCAGTAAATTGGAAACGCTGTAGAGCCATGATTAATTACCTTTTCATGCGTGAATTGATGTGAATGAGCCTAGGTTACAACAAACAA